TATAATAATGGTTACATATTAAGACCCAATAACCTCCCTTACTTCTCTTTTTTATTTTTCTTAATAACTTCATTTGAAAAAATAAACCCTTTAAATATGCAAGTATCATATATAACCTTCAACATCATGTTCAATTCTTTCAAATAAAAATATACCTTCAACTTTTGTGATCAGTAAGTATTCGTGTTTCTCACCATGTGATAACGTTACAATTCCTAAATGTCAATCCTAATACAGCCAACACTATTCTTTTTTTCCATTTTTCATTTTTTTGGGCATCTCTTCAAAAACTAAAACATAGCCCAAAATTTTTCATTCACTTCAAAACACTTTCTAAACCCTAACATATGTCATTATCGTAAATCAAACTCTTCATCTTTAGATACAAGAGCAAATAAATCCTCAAAATTTATTAAGTCTTGAGGTCCTTATGACATTTAGTCCATGAAAAATTTATATACTTCTTCCATAAAGAGGCCATTAATCTGTCATCAATTCATAATCTTGCTTGTATATCGCATAAAAACTTTTAATTAAGATAATGTAACCTAAAGCTACTACTCCACAACGAGTAATATTTACATTTGACGATTGCCTTAGAATTTGGACTATTCAACATATCGTCCACATATTCTATAGCAAATAGACCTCGATAAGATTGGATTATTTTATTTGGAAGATCCTAAAATGCAATCGAAAATAACCCAAATTTTACATCACTAAAAAATTCATTAAATTCACATTAACTTCAAAATTTAGCTCTAAGCCTCCAAACTGCATGTAATATAACCTAATAATCCAACAAATAGCTTTGGCAAAACTAATTAATTCAATAACTCAAATATATCATCACATTATTTTGCTATAGGGCAACAATAACATTCATTTACTTGTTATTCATCATATCACATTATGATCAATTACTTGTCATTTATCGTCATATCATATTACCTATAACATCTTATTATACCAATTTTTCTCACGATCACAAAATAATAATCTTCATATTTATCGCGTGAATCTTTCACACATCAATACACTATGCTAATTCCCAATCTCAATAAATTTCAACTCCACCATTCTTTGCTTTTTCTCCTTTTCTTATTCCTTAATTCCATAGTCTCTCTCTCTCTCTCTCTCTCTCTCCCCCCCCCCATTTAATTCTATTTATGAAGCAACAAATTACCCCATAATAAGAAAACATCATGAAGCTCATCATTATTTTTCTCACATCCCCTTATAATCAATCAACTCATAAATAATAAAAATAATTGGAACCACCTTAATGTTAATTTCTCGATGCCTAAGATACACAATAACACGTTATTATCTATCAATCAACGAATCATCATTTTATCTTCTACAAATTCTTAATATATAGCATAAGTATACACCATCATGATTTTTATCATCATCCCATATAAGTGCCCACAAATCACCACAAAATTTAGATAACACGAATGACCATTTGGCTTTCCAAGATAATTAACATTCCTCACTAATTGTAACCAATTACACAGATAAGATAATATTATTCCCTTTCATTTATCGTGCAAACTATAGATTTTCCATGTGTATATATTTAAAAAATGTAATTCTACATATAAATTGGTACTTCGTGTTTGTACCCTCTATCACTTTGAATGTCCATATGTAAACAACCTGCAAAACCATCAAAACTATCACTTTAAGCTGATAATATGTTTGACTCCTAATAGGTTACCTACACCACACTTCCAACTCCACAACTAATAACAATTTCATCCATCAGATCATTGCAAAGAATATACTTACATATTAGTCATTTCTAACTCTGCCAAAAATATTTTTCTATAATTTTAATTTCCAAACATACCAGTAGTAAAAGCTTGAGAGCCTGTCATTTTTTCCACCATGACATGTGATCATACACGCTAAATATACATGATGTACTAATGCATGAATTATAAAATTTTTCAAAACCATGCTTGATAGCAATTGACATGATTCGTCTCGAATCACCCAAGTAGACCCGAAATGTGACGTGCATCGATGATAGATGTTGACTAGGTATCAAGTTTATCACCAAGAATAACTATGAGTTACTACAAAAAATGCGTCAAAATTTAATGCTTATGTAAAATATAATGTGATGGGCCCAAATTATTTACTTCGTGCTACATCAATATAAAGCATAACACTCAACATGTCATGTGATTATCACTTTGAAATCATTAGGCTCCTCCAACTATAAAGAATCAATTGCTACCTGTAGGAAAAATCATGGGAAAATATATGAGTTGACAGCTTAGTGAGTAGAAAATTTCGAAAATAATTATACTTTCTCATTTATACAATTTTATCGAAAATCGATTTCACATTGTGTCAACAGTTCGCAATATAACATCAAGAATAGTCCAGATGTGAAACATTTCCATAATACTGAAATATATAATCTTATAGTCGTGATATAATCCTCAACTCAAAATTATAATATCATCTCATGATACTACATGTAATCTATCAAAAATGTAATATCTGACTGAAATATTTAATCCGCCTTCCGGGCTAGTAACTTTCGCCACTGGCTTTTGGCCCCCTATGTGAACAAAAGCAAGTCTTAAAATCTCTTATAATCAATTCTAGAATACGATTGAGGCCTCTTAGCGAACTATACGTGCATGGTCAAGACCCTTTCATCCGGGGTCCAAGAGCCCTCAATGTAGTATAGAACATGGCCAAGACCTTTCAATGAACTAAAAGAAATATATAATCATTGATACTTTTGTGGTCGATTTCATTATCACGTCTCATATTCCAATTCCCAAATGTACCATATACAATCTTTGAAATTCCACATGTATCATAGTAAACGAAACATTCATGATAATCATACAATTCATGTACAACCTTTATAATTTCACATATAGAATATTTCATAGTAATCACGTAATTGTACAAAAAATGCACATAATTTAATAATATACTTAGTAAATAAATACTTTGAAATTATTTAAATTTTTCCACACATGGAATTATGTATACAAAATCAACTTGATTGGTAAGCTTTCCCGATATACGTATCGTCGCCTGAAATATGATATAATGTTTAGATTAATAATTAACCTTTTTAAGTAACTTCAATAATTAAATTGGTAAAACCAAATCCTTATCCTTTTACACTTAAGCAATTTTCCCAATTTCTTTAATCACTTTAGCTATTTTTCTTCCTTTTAACTTAATTTTCTAGCTTATTATACTTAACTCAATAATTCTCTTTCAATAAAATTGAATTTAAACTAATAATCTAATAACCCTAAAATTAAACAAAACTATTCAATAAGTAACATTTTCTTACATTTGAATTGAAGAATTCAAGCTTAATAATGGGAAGTACTTATTTTGTAATAACATTGACGAACTTTCCATTCTTTTTTTTGCCCTCCCCCCTCTGTCTCTCTCTCTGTTTTTCCCCCCTTTCTTTCCTCTTTTTTCTTTCTTTTCTCCTTGCTCTCGTTTTTCTTCTCTGGCTATGTGTGTATTGAAATTGATTAAATTTGGTGGATAACCATTTCAATCTACCATTTGAATTTGTAAATCTGGGGACCACGTCATAGAAACTGTCAATGTAAATATTAAATTTATGTGACTTATGTGACTCAAAATTTTAAGTCACTTGAAAATTGACAATATTCATGATTTTCATCACGTAAGCATATTCGTAACTGTATATAAGTTTACCTCACTTTCCAAGTTATGTCCTAAACAAATGTTAATTGAAATTTATCTTTATTTTAAAGAATAGTGCTATTTGAACATAAGCAGCTGCATAATTATTTATATACATATAAAGTGTTAAAAAGAGAACGAATTTTTTTTTATTTGATTAAAGAAATTTTGACTCAATCATATCTCACCACATTATATATGTATAAACTATTATGTAAATTATTAAGTACATTGAATTCAAATCCAGACCTTTTATAACTTTGTATCCATGTTCCCAATTAACGATAAAAATTATTGAAACTTTAGCCATTTGATGTCATATTGGAAAGATAAAATTGTCGAGAAAGATTTCATTTGGTCCAAATCCATAACAAAACTTTGTTTTAGAAATTTGAACATTGTAAAAAATTTTAATGTTTATAAAACACATCTCCTTGCTTTTAACGCATCCACAACATCATGTGAATGCCACGTGATTATTTAATATTTAAATAAATATTTTAATTGTTTGGAGACGTGTGCTACAATTTTAAAAGATAAGGGACACAAGAAAGGTAGTTTGGAAACATGGATGTCATAATTACGAAAGGTTGGAACCCTCGGTAAAATGTATCCCAAGTAAAAATTAGGTTTTAAAATACGATTTTGCTACTTGTACATAATAGATTTATATAATGGTTTACATATACATGATGTGGTGAAATATGATTAGGTCAAATTTCTTAAACCAAATAAAAATAAAAACCTCTTTTAACATCTCATATGTGTGTAAATCATTATATAACTGCTTATATTCAATTAATATCATTTTGAGTTCAATAGGTAGTTGACAAGAGTGCCAAAATAACGAAAGGTTAAGGACCTTGATGATATTTAGCCTTTTTACATGTATAAGTACTTTTTTTTTCTTTTTTAATTTAAATTAGTGAAATATAGCGCCCGTTCGACAAATAAAACTCTTTTTTCTATATATTCATTCTCAATAATATATTTATACAATAAAATATTCTACATATATGCCTAACATTTTTCCATACCTTTTCACATTCTCCTGAAAATTAAGCCTCCGTTTGGCCCCATTCTTGTCAAAATTTAATGGATGGAATATATTTTTTTTTAAAATGTGTGGTTGAAAAGGAATGAAAAATTTTTAATTTACGTATAATATTATTTTATAGAAAATTTTTGTAGTTGAAAATAAGAGAAAAAAGAATGATAATGAGAATTGGAGCCAAACGGTGCTAAAAATTACTGCTCAAAACATTATTTTTCTCGAATACTTGTCAAACAGGGGCATAATTGGGATTTCGGGTCGCTCTGTGTACTGTTTTGGCGGACCAGGTTTTTGTTCTTGCTCCGAATTGTCTTGGACGGCAATCTCGGAATCTGTTTATCTCCCTCTGGAGGTAATAATTTATCTGATATCATAGATAATCGATTTCTATATATTCATTCCTGTAATTTCGTCTTTGTGTTTCAATTGCGGTATATGTTTGTTTATCGAGTTCTGTTTGTATTCAGTTAACGCTGAAATTCATAAGTATTTGATCTGGGGGCAAATTATAGTGGAAGTAGATAAAAGGGCAATAAATTATGGGGTTGATGCAAGCATTAAAAGGTCTTGATGCGTTTCCCCGTGCTGAAGAACACTTGCTGCAGAAGACAAAATCCGGCGCCTTCGGTATTACTCTATTTTTGTTTTCCCAAATGATAATTGTTAGTTCTAGCTTTTAGTAGCATCGATAATCCTAGTTCTGCATGTTCTGTCTGCGTGTGTGTTTTATCTTGTTTATGGTAAATTAAAGCCATTTAAGAGTTATGATTTAGAATACATGTGGAAAGATTCACCAGGAGCAACTGTCCAGCTGCGATTTCCCTAGTTCTCCTCTACAAACTGCCGAATTTGTCTGGGGGTAATTTGGCCTCGTAATTGATTTTGTGAAAAATAAAAAAAAATTCAATCCAAGTTTTAAAAATTATCCCCTCAATTATGAAGTGGGAAAGGTTTTACTGCATTCTGCGTCGCTGATTTATAAGGCATATCAGATTTATTTTCTTGATTGTCTGACACACAAGTTTTGGTGAGAGTTTTAATTATGAAGAATCATACATTTGGTTGTATTTTTTTCGTTTTAGCTTATACATTGCATCGTGGTTGTTAAAATCAGAAGAGGAAAAATTGGTCCAGATCGTACTCAAAGTGGTAATTTGATAGAATTGGATTGGAATCGTAACATAATCGTATAGAATTGTAAGATTCTTACAATTCCAAGGATTTCGTGACGTACTTGAGCTCTAATCATTTTATTTGTTCATTACCAATTTCGTATTGATTCATTTATGAAGTATTTAAATTATTTATCTATTTATTTTTTTATGTTTTAACATGTATTGCGGGTTTTAAGCTGGTTATTGACTTATAGTTGTTAATTTGTTGTTTGAGCTTCTATTTCATTTTTGTGTTCATTTTACAAAAATACGATTTTGATAACCATGCGATAATAATATTTAATTACAATAGGAGTTGTGTAATCGAGTGGCAAAAGGGAACACAAATATTTTATTTTGGTCTTCAGAGCTGTAAAGCAAATCTTCCAGGAACAATTAGCCTTCTACTCTAATGTGGTGATTCATTTGCTGAACCGTTATCAATAGGAACCTTAGTAGCTATAAACTGTGGTGTGATTTCAGTTAAATCAGAAAACCAATAAAATGATGCTTGTGGAATGGATATCCTAATATACTCTAAGATAGGTTCATTGTTGACTAAAATCCTTTTTGTGTTTCTTGCTAGTTTCCATTTTTGGGCTGGTAATCATGGCAACATTGTTCTTTCACGAGTTGACATATTACCTTTCAACTTATACGGTACATCAGGTTAGTTTTCTTCATCACAAGGCTTTTGAGGTTGTCATTTTAATGATATCTTATTTGTATTAAATGTTCAATCACTGTTTAGCTTTAATACTGAGTATTAACTGCTTGTAAGCCTTAAGTTTATAAAGTTATTTTATTGCTACTTAGTATAATATATTACATGTTGTCAGATGGAAGTAGACTTGAAACGTGGAGAAACTCTTCCCATCCACATAAACGTAACATTCCCATCTTTGCCATGTGATGGTTAGCCTTTTCTAATTTCATTTTTAATATCGTTGAATACCTATTCTTCAGCAAAATTATCTGCTAAAGCTAATGTTGTTTTTTCAGATAACCACGTTTCTAAATTATTTTTGTTCTTTGCAGTTTTAAGTGTAGATGCTATTGATATGTCAGGGAAGCATGAAGTTGATCTAGACACAAACATATGGAAGGTCAGAGTTCCCTTTGATTATTTCTTATTATAATTATCTCTGCCTTTAAATCTATCAGTATATTTATGCACTTAAAAGACATCTCAACTCCCTGTAAACAGTTTATCATTTATCCACAACGATATTCTGAAATTTAAAACATAACTTGTGACGAGATATGTAAATACCACAGTTCATGAGCAATCACCTTTCAAAATTTTCATTCTTGAGTTCCTTATTATTTACATGATGAATTTTGAAATTATGGATCCTATATTAGATGTCTTATCACCTTCCTTTAACTTTCTCTGGCTATGTATTTGATCTTTTTTAAGTGCCTATTCAAGTTTGTCCTTGTGTGCTTAGTAGGCAACCATATATAGGTGTTGATAAGGTCATCCTCATGCATTTTTGCATTTACAGTTAGGCCTGGGCGTGGTTTGGTTTGGGTTGGTTTTGACCTAAACCCAAAACCAAACCAAAGTAGTCGGTTTGAGTGAAATTAAAATCAAAACCAACCCACTCTAATTCTTAAACCGAACCAACCCAAACCACTTCGGTTCAGTTTGCTTTGGTTTGGTTTCTCGGTTTGAACTTTTAAATAACATTGCATTGTAACTTATAAAGAACAAGCAAACATTGATGTTACTCTTACACATTGTTCTCTCTCTTTTCTTTTTCTTTTTTTTCCTCCTTTTTTTCTTTCTTTTTCCTTTCTTTTTTTCCTTGTTCCCCCATTTTTGAGTTTGATTTACAAATGTGAGTGTTTCTTTTGCTTGGCGCATGACCTTTGGATACTTTCTGTAATGAATTAACAATTGCCAAACTTAATGACTAGTTTCACTTGTTTATGTCTGTGGGCGAGTGCTAATTGATTATCTGGATCATGTAGCTTCACATTATAGTTTGTCTTCTTCAAAAGTATTTGTTTCATATCCTAGAATATCTTTCCTAGCATTTGTTTGGTCAAGAAGCAACATTTGATTCCATTTATAATGTCCTTTTAGTTTGTGATTTTTGTCATATATTTTTAACTGAAGAGATCCCTTTCTTCCAACTTGTGGAGGAAGCAAATTTTCCTTCAAGTTTGTTTTGTTAATCTACAATGGGGGATGAGGAAAACAATTTTCAACCTTCAAAAAAGGGGGCTGCCGGAGTGCAACTATCTTGAGATAATCCTGATCTTGATGATGATGAAACCTTTGAATCAGAAACAAAAAGTTTCAAAAAAGCTAGTGACGAGGTTCTAGAAAGTAGAAGAATAGCGAAAGTTCGTCGTCATCAAGCATCAACTTCCGGTGCCTTATCTTTTGACTTTTCTTCCTGAAAAGGAAAACGAAAGCAAGAGAAAATGTATTGCTTGAGAGTCTGATTATGAGTTAGTTTCCATGAAATAATTATAAGTCCTATATCCATTTTGTTGCATGATTCTTAATCATCATGCTGCATGATTCTGGAGATATGAGTGATTGAATCGTAAATATAGTCTACAGTTGCTAATAAAACCTTAGTTTTACTACTATTGAAATTGATAATTAATGTGGAATTTTATTGGATTTGGATTGGATTGGTTATCATGTTTATTTTGAGTCCTACAGTCATACTCTGTCTGTGAGTTACCCTTCTTCTTCTTCTTCTTCTTCTTTTTTCAAAAAGAAAAAAAAAATGGTTTAAATTTGTAGCGGGTTGAGAGGTTAACCATCGGTTTTGGTATTCAAACCATGAACCAAACCAAACCAACATGGTTTTTGTCTACAAAAAACCAAACCAAACCATTTGACTACTCTAAACCGAACCGAACCAAACCAAACCGAATCGGTTCGATTTGGCGGTTTAGGTGGTTTGACGGTTTTTTTGCCCAGGCCTATTTACAGTGTTTGTAATGATATGTTTGGAATGCTTGCTAATGTATGTTTACTATGTTGTCTTTTTATTTTTATTGTGAATGCTAATACTGTCACTTTGATTATCAAATACTGGATTCAGATTTCAGATTATAATATTATATCATGTAATTCTATCTTATGCTTTTTCAACTTCCAAATATATTTCTTCAGCCACTTCTCTGAATTTCCTTTGACTTCATCTTGAGCTTGTTTATGCAAAGTATACAACTGTAGTGTTTTGGTGGTTGAGGCTGTGTTGGGTGCCCTTCTGATTCACAGGACGTGTGTAGATTGATTTCATATTAAACAATAATGCTGAATCAGATTATATTTATTTTATATCATGCTTGTAAAGTTGATTTTTGCACCTCTCTAGGCTGTTCTCCATCTTTTTCTTTTTCTTGAAATTTGAATTCCATGATTTACTTTTTGTTACTCAGAATTCTTGTGTGTATGCCGTGCTTACAATAATTGTTTCTCACAGTGCTAGTATTAATTGTTTCTGCAGCTTCGCTTGAATAATGATGGCCAAATCATTGGCACAGAGTATTTGTCAGACCTAGTGGAGAAGGAACATGCAGCTCATGGGCATGGTTGGTTCATGTTTAAGCCCATTTGATGTGAAGATTAGTTTTGACCATTTGTTTCCTCCTTTGATGTCTTGCCTAGTACGTAGTTGAAAAAATATAGCTTTTGCCTGAAACCTTTGCTAGATGCTATCTGAATCGCATCAGAGGTGTGTGTGTGTAATTTTGCAGCTACATGTGTTTTTGTTCTTACCAAAGGTATTTTTTGAGAGGAGATGTTTTAGGATGCCATCCCAAGTTCATTGCTAGTAAAGCTTAGCTCCTTCTTCTTGTTGTTGTTGTTGTTTGATTTTTAAGAAGCTGCTCTTGTAAGTTGATTATTGTCTGTTGAAGTGAAGATAGTTGTAAAACCAAGATTGCTTGAGGTGAATTATGACTGTATTTCTAAACTGTAGGCTAGTATTTTGCATTCTTTCAAATAGTTCTTAGCGCCATCACTTGTGAAATTAGTATTATCTTCTGATGTTGCGATGCTATTGTCATACCATGTATCACTGGTGCTTAACAACTAAAATATCTTAGTAAGGAAGTCAAAATTGTAGAGGTGGTCAATGTTACAAATAGAAGTACTTGTTTGGCATCTAACGTGAAATTACTGTGAATATGGTTTCAAAGAAGCTTTTTCATTTACTATAGATACATGTCTGGCTGTGGAATTTTCTGTTGCTAGTGGGGAGCATACGATATCATTATTGTAAATGAACTTTAAAATGTCATCGAGGTTCATAGGATGGTAAGTCATTCAGTTTTTTCCTATTGGTGACCAGTCCAAAATAGATTTTGTGATGGTGTAGGAATTGGATGTGCTATTTCAATATATTATTAGAGATCTAGATCAGTTGTACATTTAAAGAATTTAGTCATTTGTGCATGATTTTCAGTTCCGCCTCTAATTTCCTTGTCAAAGATCATGCGAGGTCCTTCTGTGGAACACCATACAAGGATTTTGGCACCTTCATATCGTTTAACATTGAGGAAACAATTGAAAAATTACCTGCGGCTGCAGTTTAGAATTAGTTTTCGTTGGGAAATACATTCCACATCATCATGTTAGGTCTTTTTACCACTTAATTCCTTAAGCATGTGATAATGATGAAGGGATTTGGATGCCAGCACCATCCACTAGACGATCCTTACTACTGGGACAAGGCATCGGATTCCATACAGTCAAAAATTAAAATGGTTAATCACCAAACTGAAGCTAGCAGCAAGCTTCTGTTGTTACATAGGATAAGCAAGCTTATGTTATGAACTCAGTTCTGCATAATCAGTATGCCGATGATGAAATTTATTTCATTTTGCCTTTTCTATTTTTTCCTTTATTCTTTAACTGGAATTGAGTCTTATTTTTTCTGTTCTGTCTGATCATCAAGTATTTGCTTGAAATTTTCATGGTCAATCATCGTTGATGTTAGTACGCAGAGATTAAGATATTTCTAGATCTACTTTAGAATTCTTGTAGAAAAGGATCTTACTTCCACTGTATAGAGCTCAATATTTATGTTAATTCTGTCAAGTAGAATGTTTACACACTATAACTCTGTTCTGAATCTTATGATGAATAACTATGACCAGATGACCACAAAACTCATCATGAGGATTCGGACCATAAAGTTGAACTTCACAGTTTTGATAAAGAAGCTGAAAATTTGATTAAAAAGGTGAAGCAGGCACTGGCCAATGGAGAAGGTTGCAGGGTATGCCTTTTTTCTACTTCCAACCTCAGCTTGTTCATCCTTCATTTAATTAGCCATTTAACTCATTACTTCTTGCAGGTGTATGGGGTTTTGGATGTGCAAAGGGTTGCTGGGAACTTCCATATTTCAGTTCATGGGCTGAATATTTTCGTTGCTCAAATGGTCAACTTCTCTTTGAACTTCATTTTCTTATTCTGTCTAGTTTACATAATAACTTGAATGTTATATGTATTGTAATATTTCATCAATTGTTCAGCTAATTAAACTGATTGTGTAGGCATAACGACTCTGAACTGCTGCCAGAAGTTAATTGAGTTTATTATTGTGTATCTTTAACTGCTGAATAGTTATTGATTATTTCTTTAGTGGTATTTGGATGAACGATAAACAAATTGTGGAAATAATTTTACCTCTTGGGACCTGGATTAGTTTACAAAATATAATGACAACTTTGCTTTTCGAGTATGCATTAAAATCCTGATAGAGGTGGTGTTTTTACGTTTCCTGTCACTACTATATAAAGGTCAAAATAATGTCAGATAGACGTACGGATAGTTCATTTGGGATCTTCATATTAATATTATCTGAAGACTTCAATAGCACCCTGCAGCAGTTTTTCAGCTTTGATGTAATCACTCACAATCAGCTGATTTCATACCAAATCCATCAACGCCCTCATTTACTTCCTTCCCAACTTATGAACATTTCGAGATTGTTTTTCACTTCTTTTCTTTTTGAATAAAAGCACCCCTCTCCCCTAGAGTAGTGATAGTTGAAAGTGTTCCCTTTCATATGTAAGTCTGATGAACAAATGGAAGAAATTTGGCTAGTCGATAACCCAGGACTGAAAGAAATAGGGAATTCCACCCACTTCTCCACCTAAAAATTGAAATAAAAATAGAACAAGAGAAAGAAAATCATGGATGCTTCAAATTAAACTGTTTGAAGTCCACCCAAGTCCATAATTAACCTGACCTGTTTTGACCCAGATCATATATGGGCATGATCACTTTTTGGTTAACCCATTTTGGACCTGTGCATACCATGTGCCTAACAATCATTTGCCTCCTTTGGTCAGAAAGTAGTTGATGGCACCTGGCTACCACCAGAGAAATTTCAGAAACTGGCATTAGTGTAATTTATTTGCCAAATAACTTTTTGAACTGGAAAGTTATGATTGGGTTCATAATATTATTATGGCATGTGTTTAATGTAATGACATCAACAGTAGATTGTTACTGTTTTAGGCATAATTTCTTAAGTTAAGGCTGAGTGGTGTTTCAAATACGTAGTGCTTGAAACCAGCTTATGTCCTGTTGGGGTGAAAACATCAAAATCATCATGGAAATGCTTGGCCTTCTGGGAGATTTGTCTTGGGTCCAGGCAAAGATGGCTGAAGGAAAAGGTGGTCTTCTCTGAACAACTAAGCTACTTACTGAGAGTTTGATACTGGACCTGTACTAGAGTAGGACTAGATGATGGGGTTCAAATTGGGGATTGAACTTGTGTATGGAACACGTGGAAGGTGGGGATCATAAAGTTCAAGAACAAGAACGTTGTAAATAAGTGAAGCAGACTACCATCTTTATTAATTGAGAACAAAATATTAGGGCCTGCTTGGTTTGTGTTTTGGTTTTGGGTTCATTTTTTGTTTTCTATTTTTAGGGTTGGTTTTTAGATTTTTAATAACATATTTGGTTTGTCATTTTGAAAAATTATGTCTCAAAACAAAAAATTGAAAAGCGATTTAATATTTTAAAAAATTGTTTAATTACATTTTATTCCATTAAATTTGATTATTTGGTTAAAAAAAAGGAACAATTTTACGTTAATATATTATCAAGTATTATATACATTTTAAAGTTGGTGAATCTTATAATAGTTTTTCTCACTAAAAAATAAAATTAAAAAATAATATATTAATTTCAAAATATAGGAAATTTATATAAAAATTTATGCATAGACCCAAAATATTTTTGTCTGTATTAATTTAAATTTAATTTTTTTATGTAAATAATTATTAAGAGCTAGAGCAATTTTTACTTTTTATTTTATTTTTTATTTTTAGAATTATATTTTTTAGAATTTTAGATTTTATTTTTTCAAATTTTATTTTTTAGAATTAATCAATTTTATTTTTTGAACTTTAATTTTTTATAATTTTTAAATATTTATTTGTTAGAATTTTATATTTTTATTTTTTGAAAAATTTTTATTTTTAAAATTTTATTTAAATAATTGTTTTTCCATATTTTGAGTGTCCTCAGTATTTTCACTGAAAACATTCAAAATGTGAAAAATGACTTTTGAGTTTTATTTTATAAATTTATTCTTTGTTTTTGAAAATGCATTTTCAAAAATAACAGACCAAAGACGTTTACAGTGTTCTGCAAAATTAAAAACAACTTGAAAACAGCAAACCAAACTCACCTGTAAAGACTTCTTAGGTTCCGACTTCCAAGAATGCCTGTATAGTAAGAAAACAAAACGATGGTTACATATTTTGGAGGTCCTATACCATTTAGGGTTCGTTTGATTATAAAGATAGAATTTGGGTGGAAAGAAAATCAATTCCGGGGAATTGAATTGTCGAGAAATTATTTTATTGGAAATTGTCAATTATTGTGTTTGATTGATATAATTTTTCACGTGAAAAATGTTGAAATAAAAGTATTTTTGGTATTCGTTTGATTTTGTTTTACATGAAAATTATCAATTAAAGGGATAGAATTTACTAGTATTAAGGATAGAATTTGTTTCCATTGCCAAAAAAATAAAAAAATAATCATCTATCTTTTGGTATTCGTTTTGCTTTGTTTTACATGAAAATTGTCAATTAAAGGAAAATATGTTTTTACAATTACGGATGGAATTTGTTTCCATTGTCAAAAAATAAAAAAATCCGCCAACAGCCTAGAAAATGAATTCTCACCGGTCATTTTCATCAATTTGGTGGAAATTGGCTAAGGTGGCATGAAAGTGGAAAAATGAATTGCCTAGAAAAAAAGCCTATCAAATATGCATTTTTGGTTTAGGGTGGAAATCAATCTCCATTTTCCATGAAAAATGGGCTTATCAAACAGCCCTTTATAGTATTCTGATGTGTACTTTTAGCATTATTATAAATAAATACATAAAAAATATTAAAAGATCAACTCTAAATAATAATAAATAAATAAATCATATTTTTGTATATCCTGCAGGCACTTTTGCTCCTGCAGATTGTTGGATGGAATTTCAGTGTGCCAAATATGCCTCAAGGTCTGTAGTGGAAAGTCATACTGGTTAAATATGGACACCATCTAATTGGAGCTCCATTTGATGGGGATGGAGTGAAAAGTTCTATCCATGGGAAACTGAAGGGTTATTTTGGTTCAATAAGAGACTAATTGTGAATTTATGATCTTCAAGTTTTGAGGAAAATGTACCAAATCTAAGATATCAATCGCAAGAGATAATGCCAAAATAAGACTAGAAATGGAACTTCTCATGCAAGGCACCTGACTTTAAGCAGACCATTCCTTGACTTAGAGGGTGAGAAACCATTTTGAAATCCCGTAGAAGCAGAAAACTAGAAGCTTGATTATTTCCTTCTCTCCTCATGTCTTTCCTAGATCCTCTCCTCATGTCTTTCTTAGATCCATTTATTGCTAGTGTCAACGAATTGAGTTAGAAGGTTTGTTAGTCTTTTCAAGAGCTGTTAGTGGATTGAATGGGGTTTATGATATGCCGAAGAGAACGAAATTGATGAGGTTTATTTATGTATAGATTAATTGGTAGGTTACTTTTTTCCTTACTAGCCTTTTCTCTTTCATTGTGTATGCATCTTAAGGAATCATTTTAAGGTGTTTGTTGAGTTACTATTTTGGTTTGAATTTTCTTTGCACCAGCATCCGGCTTTTGCATTTAGGAAACATGGAACAAACTGTCTTTTCGTGTTTTAAAGTAAAGAAATCAGTATTTTCTTCTTTGTTTTTATGGTTTATAATTTTACAAAGCGTTTTCTTCTTTGGGCTTTCCCTGCTGCTCATCCCCTCCAACCGTGCGAACCTTTTCCTTTTTGGAGGTCGTTGGCTCTCAGCCCTTGGGCACGGGGATGATTTGCTGCTTAATTTGCTCTGCAACCTTATGATGCCTATGAAAGTATCTGCAGGTGGGAGACCTTTATCTTCTTCAGACGATATTTTGGGCTTTTGAAGCACTTTATTTTCTGAAAAGAACAAAAAGTAGATTGGAATTATTGTGTTCTTTTGAAGGAAAAGGGTATTTTTTACTTGTCTTCAGATATTAAGCCTATATTTCTTGGTTATTCTTACGAAAGGGATTTTGTGTGATCAGGCATTTTGTTTGTCAGCAATAGAATTGATTGTCAAACTTCTTTTAACTTTCACCCAATACATATCTATTTATATTATTTCCTATTCTGCAGATTTTTGAAGGGTCTTCTCATGTCAACGTGAGTCATATAATTCATGATTTGTCTTTTGGGCCGAAATATCCTGGAATTCACAACCCACTTGATGGGACAATGCGGATATTGCGTGGAGCAAGTGGAACATTCAAGTATTACATAAAGGTTTGTACATTGGATTGCCCGTACTAAAACTATTAGTAACGTTTATGATCCTAACATGTTGAATGCACATATAAGAACATGTCTTTAGCTAGATAAAAATATACTCGATTTTCTTTCCGTTGTACTCAAAATGACAGAGCAACTTAATAACTAACTAGCAAATAAAGTTAAATGAGTATGACAAGCACCATGAGTTGCCCCCACAAACTATAATAAAAAGATCAGTAGTTTTTCCTTTATCCATCTTCTGTTTACATATTGTTGACCAGGAGCTGATTTGGTTACTCATAACTTGTCATGAGCAACCATGACTCTCTGTTGAAAAGGAATGGCGGCTTTGAGTCAGGATTTCAGTTATGAACTTTTACTCATTTCTTGCATTTCAGTTAGCCCTTGGATTGTTGGATGTCTTCCTTTAATTATTCTCACTTGCATGTATCAGAAAATTCATCAGTTGCCCTAGTTCGATACAACTGGAGAAAGTCATGCTTAAGTTGATGAAGGCACGACTTAAATTAAGCCCTCATTTGATCCTTATTATTTCGAAAATACATTTTTCCCTCTTTTCTTTTCAACCACGCATTCTTCAATAAAATAATATTTCACGTACACCCAAAACTTTTCCTTATATTTTAACCACACGTTTTTCATCAATCCACTATTCCAAAATGCATTATTAGCCAAAAATGGGACTCAAACAAGCGCTAAGTTGTCTTTGCCACTGTCGGATTTGTTAGCACGATAACCCAGAAAGAGAGGATTTTTACTTCATTTTGCTGAGAGTGGTTTTATTTTTTTCCTGACCAGGGGAACTAGTTTAACAATTACTTAGTGATAGCTTAGTTCCTGTTCTTGGAAGGACGCCTGTTCTTATAATATAGTGGAGAATGTATCTTTTAGCCCTAGCGAGGGGTGAGTAATTGTCACTCATATTTTTGCCTCCTCACCCCTTCATCAAAAACAAGCCCTGGATATTCTTGGAATTTCCTTATCACCAAGTGTTCCTCTCCTTCACAATGATGCAAAATTTGTTCTATATTAGATCGTGCAATCAATTGTGGCTTATTGATTTTCTCTTGCTCTGTACATACAATATATACAAAAAATTTCACACTGTATTGTTTTTGTTCTATTTGTATTCTTGTTAAGTTACCCAAAATGCAAAACCAGATGCTATCAACTCAATTTGATCAAGCATTACACGTTTCTACTTTTTAGATGCTGATTTGTCTAACTTGATTTGTATTTTCAGCCTAACCAAATCTCTCTCTCTCACTCTCTCTCTCATGGTGAGAGAGCAGCAGAACCATTACTATTTTTCGCTAGTTGTTTATGTGCAAAGTGGTTGCTGTTGGTTATTTGCTGCTTTTTGAAGTTCTTGTTTTCCTCCGGATGTAGATTGTTCCGACTGAATACAAATATATCTCAAAGGAAGTTTTACCTACAAATCAATTTTCTGTCACGGAGTACTTTTCACCTATCAATGAGTTCGATAGAAAGTGGCCTGGTTAGTATGAAGTTTGTTCAATTCAGGGCTCTCTTTTCCATATATCCTTTCTCCTAGTTTATATTTCTTCCTATTTCTATTCTAGACTGTTTTTGAGGAATAATTGTTTTGTTTTCAATGCAGCTGTATACTTTTTGTATGATTTGTCACCAATTACTGTGACCATCAGAGAAGAACGTCGCAGTTTTCTCCACTTCATCACCCGGCTATGTGCCATACTGGGTGGTACATTTGCCTTAACAGGTTTGTTTTCACGTATTTACCCTGTTTTTGACAGTGGATGATTTCATGTGGTTAATGAAATGAGAATCTGGATTATAAGTCCTCATCAGTTATATAACCCATAAAATACCTGGCTCTGACGTGGCTATGGCATGCACAATGTGCCTGAGATGCTTGGGATTGCGGTCTAGGAGATCAATGGTGCAAGTCTGACAATTGATTCGAGATCTGTAGATATGCACACACACGCCCTTTCCTGGATGGGAATGGGAAATTGCCGTTCTCAACTTGGAACTTTTTCTGTCATTTCATAATTGAAAATTAGAGTAATCAAGTTACCTAGAAGACTGGACTGACAAATAGGTCTCGAAAATATTAAAACATAGGAGTCAGGTGTGTAAGATTGTAAACTGGAGTAATATTTGATGACCTTTCCTCTACGAATGACCTTGGGACTGAAAATAATCTTCATGTCAACCTTCCTTTTCTTCTAGTTTAGGAGCTGCCAAAATTCGCTAAACTACCAAACTTTCTCCTTTGTTCAGGAAACAAAGAAATTCCCCCATCCTTTTGGTTGGCACGCTTGTTGTAGCTAAAGTGTAATCTTCTATTGGTAGTATATCTATTTCTTTTCTCCCCCCTTGGTATATAATGCAGCACTAATAAGATGATTAATAGAAAAAGAAGACAGATTCAGAAAGAATATGGAATTAGGGGGGAAGAAGAAGAATTCGACAGAAGAAGGAGAGGGATGCGCCACAAGCCACCAAAATAATTATTCATTCATTCATCAACTAATGAAATTACATGGAAAAGTTAGTTTAAATAGTAAATCAAACCCTAACTAGAATGGGCTTGGGCCAATACAAGCCCAATAAAAATCCACAACAAAATAAAGTCTACCAAAATGAAATAAGGTTCAACTAGAAATAAATAAATAAACTGGATGTCCTCATCAATTCTCCCGGGGTGGGAGAAAAACTCGACCCGGTCGAGTTGATAGATCACAGGAGACTGCAGTCAATTTGATACCCAAAATGCTTCAAGGTATGCCACGGGGGTGATCTTTCTGATGAACCAAGTATCGAAATTCCATGATTGCTAGTAATGAAACCTGCGACTTATTCCCCAGAATATGATTTGATAAAGATAAACTGGGCAAAGGAAGATCTGGCGGACTCCTATAAAGTTCCAACGAATCTGGATCACGCTGTTGAAGTCTCTTTCTGGGGGCCCATGTACCATCAGAATCAAGTCGATCCACCCAATGAGCAAGAAAGCACTGAACCTCTTTATCATTGGTCAATACAATCTGATCATCTAAAATAATATCAATTTTATCTTTGTGTGTTGTGATAGGTGGTGTTGGAACAGACATAGCAAAAGGTTCAGTGTAGGGGTTCCCATGTGGAGGTAGAAAATGATCACTAGAGTAATTAAAATAGCCTTGGTAAGCAAAAAAGTCCTTAACAGTTAAAATAGAATGGTGGTCAAAATGTGATAAAAGATCAATGACATATGTATTTGAACCAACATGCTTTAAAATTTCACAAGGACCAGCACTACAGGCTTCCAATATAACAAAATCCCCAATATTAAATTCAAAATTTCTCTTATGCAAATCAGCTTGAAGTTTATATAATGCATTACTTGCTTCAAATTGTTTATTGATCTCAATATGCAAGTCATGAAGATGACGTGCAAATGCCTCAGCTGACGTAGACGTACTAGTATGTGGGGACATTGGAATAAGGTCTAAAGGTCTCATAGACTTATAACCATGAATAACTTCGATGGAACTTGTACCAATAAACCGATGCACAAAATTGTTATATGCAATTTGAATTGTTAGGAGGATCAAATCTCAATTCTCAAGATTTTCCTTGAAAAGGATATGATTACACAAATCATCCGTACCTTTAGGTTGGAAAAGAGTATGACACACAACATTTAACTAAGGGGTATCGGGAACAAGGGGTACAGCCACTAGATTCATAGGAAAAGTCCTGGTACTACATAAAGAAGTGTCCTCAATATCATTCAAGTCATCACATTCTTCAAATTTAGGTTCATAGATTTGATCTTTTAACGACTCTTCTATTACATCCTTTCATTCTTCTAAGACCAAGGCTCGGTTAAGACATTTGGAAGTGATGTGGCTAAAGTCCATACAACTAATGCATAGCAGGTGAGAAGGAGTCCCTGGAGTTTCAAAAATTTTACCCTTATTTTTCAAGATTTGAGGAATGTTAGACGGGGGAGGTCCTAGAAGAGACTTAACAGGAGGAGGTGGAGCCAATGAAATGGAAGAGTAGTTGTCAATACGCCTTCTATACGGAGAAGGGGGCCTTGGACTATCACGGCCTTTACAATTATTTTTCCAAATGGGAGGAACACTAGACGAGGGAAGGCTCTATGTCAGTCATGTTGAGGTGGTGCTAATGACATGGGAGAACGATGGTGGTCGCACTTTTCATATGGAGTACTAATAAGTAACTCTTAGTCTCGAGCTGAAGAGTAAGCTTGATCAAGAGTAGTGATGCCTCGAAAGAAAAGCTCACGCCTAGGTTCATCTCTTAGACCTTTTATAAACCTACTTAAAGTCAGGGTCTCATCCTTAACGACATAACATTTCACTCGAAATTCCTCAAATTAAGCAATGTACTCAGTTACTAGCCGATTCCCTTGTGTAAGGGTGTTCCATTGGGTAAAAATTTCATGATCTAAGGAACATCGAAAGTAGGAGTATCTAAGTTAATGTCTCTAAAGAAACGCTCCTTTCGACGAGAAAGAGAATGAGTATCATGATGACCATAGCCTTGCTCTCGCTCACGAACCTGATCCCTATTCGTATGATCACGTCGAAAATATTTTTGATCAGTTTGTGCACGATGATATTGTCTATTATGAGACGCTTCAGAATTAGTGTCAGTCAAACGAGGGGTTTGCTTAAAATTGCTCAACTTAGCAGCTAGGTTCTCTCTCTCCTCACGAGTAGCAGTTATATCTGATTGGATAGTCGATAGGCTAGTGGCAAGTTGCACTAATTGTCTAGTGAGTGCATCAAATGGGGATGGATCAATGGTCAATGTATTGGAAATAGAGACGACAAGACGACCACTACGCAACTATATGCAATGTAATACCTGCTAAATGACGTGCAATGATGAGATTAATGAACAATAAATGTAAGAAATGAAAAGTAACAAACTAAGCATTTTTTTTAGGATTAAATTCAAATATGGCAAGCTAATACTGCTGATCTATGTAAAATAACAAAGCACGGATCAAATAATAGTCAAAACCTAATCAGGTAATATAAGTGGGGTAAAATAGGGTTTTGATGAAATCAATGGATTCAGTCACGTGACTTTAGGTATATTGTTAGAATAACATCGCAAAAATTTAATTAATGCAATTTTAAATGAAGCAGTATTGTAAACCAATGACAAATATAAATCAAGCACACCCCGTTGTTTAGTTGCAACGGTGGTTCCCATGGAAGCTTAAACCTGATGGCGATGTACTTTAGGACCCAAAGAATCAGAACTGTGCCCAATTATGATTTCCCAGTTGGCACGTCTCTAGTAGAAAATTATAATGGAATACTCCTAAGCAGTCGAGTCGCTGAATGGAACACTAATCCTCAAGAGTTTTAACAAGCTGTCCCAATGCAAATAATAGGCCAAATCCAATTCAACAAATGTTCCTGGCACTCTGAACTCAGAAGTCCACCGACGTGAAAAATAAAGCGAAAACTGAACTCCGAGTGGTGGGTGACAACTGGTGTGGTAATGGGTTGCTGGCGATTGGCAGTGAGGGTGGTCGCGGAAAGTGTGGTGACTGTGGGATACCGATGGGGAAGGAGGAGTGTAGGGCTTGGGTTGATTGAGTATTGTAGATGTGGGCTAGGTTAAAGTGTTGTATATAATGGGCTAGGGTTATGGACCGAGCGAATTTGGGACCGGTTATGGGTTGGATGGTGTTGGGCAGGTTGTGATAATATGTGATAAGTGGGTTGGATTTGGTGTTTATTGGGCTGAAAAGCGAGTGAATTGGCTAAATAGATGATGAGAGATGGGCTGTGTGTTAGTGGGCTTTGGGAGTAATTAGGCCACTAGCTTATGGTCCAAGTGTTTTGATAAAATAAAAAATAAAAATGAATGGTTAGTGGTTATAGAGATGGAATATATGGGCTGAAGGGCTAAGTGAGCTTGAATGCTAGAGTTTAGGATTTGTGGAACACGCCACAATTTTTTTTATTTATGAGCAGCAGCAGTAAAAAAAAATGAAAATTTTTTTCTATTTTTTTGGCATGACCAGTTACCTTTTTTTTTTTTTTTTTTTTTTTTTAAAGAAATTGACCAAAATACTAAATTGAAATTCTGGGTGAACAGTACCCGCGATGAACAGTAACTATTTTTTTTTCAACTAAGACTGAAAATTGAAGAAGAAAAAACTGCTGCCTTTACCAAAATTTCTTTTAGTTCGTGCTGTTCCAACAGATTTTTGGAAGAAAATATGAAGAAATTTTGGATTAAAGAAAAGAAATTACCTAAGGTTCGGCTCTGATACCAAATTTAATGTAACACTAATAGGATGATTAATAGAGAAAGAAGACAGATTCAGAAAGAATATGGAATTAAGGGGGGAAGAAGAATAATTCAACAGAAGAAGGAGAGGGATGTGCCACAAGTCACCAAAATAATTATTCATTCATTCATCAACTAATGAAATTATATGGAAAAGTAAGTTTAAATAGTAAACCAAACCCTAACTAGAATGGGTTTGGACCAATACAAGCCCAATAAAAATCCAGAACAAAATAAAGTCTACTAAAATGAAATAAGGTTCGACTAGAAATAAATAAGTAAACTGGATGCCCTCATCAGTATAATTGTCATAATTTGGTTCTATAAACTTTGAACCTTCAGTTTCAGCCTCTATTGATGCTGAGGACATGCTCAAGAAGCACGATGTGATTCATGACAACTAAGACCTCAAATGATTGATTGTGTTGAGTTATTTATAGTAGCTCTCACAACTCCAAAAAATATCAAGTCCTTAACTGTTTCACTCTTATTTGACCCTGCACATTGGTAGTTGTACTGCCTATACTGTTGATTGCTTGGTGCCTTCTACGCGTGGTTTAAGTGGGTTTTCTAACCCCAAATAACTGTTGAATTCTTGATAAAGAGGTAATCCCACAGGCAATTGTAGAACACCTGCTCTTCATTGCTGATTTGTTTCCTTAGCTTCCTAAGTAATTCTATAGGCATCTTCAAGATTAGGAAGACAATTAATATTCATCTGACTTTAGCAATTTTCAATCACAATAAAGAAACAATCTGTAAGTTGCTTATCTGTTTCATAGAGGCCAATCAAATAGATGAATTATAGAATTTGTGTGGTGTACTCTTCAACACTATGTCCTGTTGATGCAAATTACAACAACACTGTGTCCTGTTGGTGCAAGTTACAAATTCAGTCATACAGAGCTATTGGATAATCCGTTGGCAAAAATTGCTTTTTCAACTTAACCTTCATCAAGTCCCAAGTGTGAATATTAGCTTTTTCTCTTAATAGTTCTCTCCTATTTCTAATTGCTTCCGCTATTGTAGCACTGCTCCTCTTAGTTTCAGCCTTACAACGTATACCTTTAAGTTGTGTTTGATTGGCTTTATTTTACATGGAAAAGTCATTCTTTCACCTAAATTCCTACTTTTAGGGTGTTTGATTAACTTTTTTTCCATGGAAAATATTTTTCAAAAGTTGGTCACATGACCACGCTTTTCCTCAAAAACAAGGATATATTTTTTATCGGGGGAGTTTTCTTTTTTTTTTTTTTTTCTAAGCAGTTCACAATTTTAAAAAACTCAATTTTATGAAAAGTACATCATTTTTTGAGCTGGAAATTAAGTCAATAAAACACATATAATTAACGATTTTCATGCTTAGAACTTACTTTCTTTCTATACAAGTTCCATACTTGCTATCAAACACATCCTTAGTTCTTTGAGTATCGACGCACATTTGAAACAATTCTCCTAGCTTGCTTCCCAACTGAGGAAACTTCTGCATGCATTCTTCCATGGGAATTCAAAACTTTAATTCAAACTCTAGATATAGATCTATAGCTCTTGCTAACCGCTTTTCTATCTCACTGTGCTTGGGATTAGCACAAGTTACAAGATTATTTAAAGGGTTAAACATTCTCGTAAAATGCTCAAGTCTCTCTACGGTATCTCATTTGAGCTTCCATACAATCTTTATTCAAGTTGTCCATGTCGTATAAGTTTCGTTGTTCTCCTTTTCATTTGTCGAACCGGATGAGCTTGTGTAGGTTTATGAATCCTTGGTCGTGTCGCAACCATGATAATCCTTCGAATGGCTCCCTCCGATACAAAAATTGATGAGGAGGCTTTAACCATCAAAAAAGTAAAGAGAGATTGGAAGAACAAAGCTTACTGACGGAGATCAAAGTAAAAAATGGAGATGTAGTGCTTTGAGCTTAAATCTCAACAAACCAGAATTTTCTGGACCACTAATAAAGTTCTTCACTTCTTATTTTTACTTGGACAATAGATAGGCTCTTCAAACCTGAAGAGACTCTAAAATTTACTTTGACTAGGAAGGCTTAAATTACCAGGAAAACATAATCCTAGTTCTGGAATCTGAAACTTGACTCCCTGGCCAGTTTTGAGGCTGAAAATAATATACTAGGAGAGAAATTTGAAACCCAAGAAGCACGGATATGGATACGTAATTCGAATACAATACAATACAGGTACGCTAATACAACTTTTGTAAAATAGGATTTGTGGATACGTGTTATAAAAGTCAACATAATTTCATTAATATAAAAATTTGTGTATACATCTTTGCGTGCATTTATACGTGCAAAATGCCAACATCCACGCATCACACATGTGCATGTATATTTAAACTAGTTATTTGAGCACTATTGACTATATATAAATTTGTGTATATATCTTTGCGCATTCTGCACTCCTGCATGCACGGGAACAGAATTTCTTGAACTTTAACAGTCATGCATAGAATTTGCAAATTCGTGATTTTTTTGATAATGAGTGCATTTGAGTTCATTGTCCCATTAAATTGTAGTGCCTATTACATCAGTAGAATGCCTCAACATATTAACCCTTGTGGAAAACTCATCTGGAAATGCACTCAAGAACTTTGTATTTCACTATATCTACCCTTTTGGGTTCAGTTTAGGGCTTTGAATCTAGAATAATTGTACGATCTTCAATGTTTGAACTTATTCCTCAATATATCTACTTCTACTCTCAGGAATGCTAGATAGATGGATGTACAGGTTTATCGAAGCAGTGACAAAACCAAACGCTAGAAGTTTTTCTCGGTGACTTAAGAGCCAATGATGAAGTAATTTCAGAATGCTCTGAATGCGATTCTCAAGAACGAACTCAAAGTTTGTAGTCATCGGGGAAGTTGAAATATTTACAGCTCTGTATTTGTCTTTTCCAGTTTCTTTTCTCGTCGGAAATTTTAAAATTAAGCTTTTTGACATCATCTGCTGTTGTCTTATACAAGCTACAAGTTTTTGTAGTTCTTTTTCTTTTTGTACCAGTCGAGTTGGGGATTTGGCACAATTTAGTGGCATCTCTTGGCGTATGATACTCTTGGTATTTCCTTCCATTCTCCAGGGAAAATTGCGGCTATTGTCCCCAACGTTTGTGTGCATTTTGACTTTTGGCCCCAATGTATTTTTCTTAGCACCTGTAGTACCATGCACGTGATGAAAGGGTAATAATGTCAGTTACCTTTTAAACTTCAGTTCTTAATTGCCTATGTATGGATTCTATAAAAAAAAATTTTAAATGCAGCGTATTTTTCAATTTTCTGAACGCATATGAGGTCTAATTTACCCCCTTTCCCCTTTTCGTTCATTTCCCGAAATTAGTCAATTGGCCCGCCCAAAATATTTTTCCTTTACGTTTTTTTAATTAAATAAAAAACGGGCACTCTTTCAAATTTGAATGATGTTGGAGTCTACAGCACCTGCAATAAACTCATTTTGATAGTTCACTCACACGTGTGGGCCCTATAATGTAAGAGGGCGGTCAAAGATGGTGTAAAAATGTGTGTACTTGTAGCATAATTCTCTAAATTTAGCACATGGTACCAAAATTTCAAGTCGCCTTGATCAAACACGTGATATAGTTTGTGCAACGAAAGCTCGAATCATCAGGATATCAATGGTTAATTCCTATGTGCCATATTATCCTCTAAGAGCAAAATTTTAAAAGGCATGCTTAGGAGCAAGTTTAACATTGCCGTCGGTCATCTTTCACTCTTTTTCAAGCTTAGACGACGCAGAAGTTTAAAATTGATTTCATGGTTTAATAATACTTTACGTTTTTCAGAATAATGTCTAAAAATAGGTCTGACCGTGGTATGGTTTGAGTTGGTTTCAACTCCAACTCGAAACCAAAACCAAATTAGTCAGTTTGAGTGAATTTCAATCCAAACCAATTCACTCTAACTATTAAATCGAACCAAACCAAATTAAATCGGTTTGGTTTGGTTCAATTCGGTTAGTCGGTTTGGACTTTTAGTCCAAATTGAACTTTAAAAAAAAAAAAAATTGTCTAAGTTTTGGCTCAATTAGATTACAAGATATAAAATAACTAAGTAACTTTATATTACAAGAATTATTGACTAACAAATAAAATTAGGTTAATAAAGATATATCCACAGAAAACTTAAGAATTTTGTTACCTCTTTATACATTATACAGCCTAATTATCTGAGTAGGAAAAAAACTTAGTATAACGTAATGAACTTGTGAAAGGAAATTTCAGTACTATTACTTATCGGCAACACCATAGATATTGGAGGGAATTGTAATATAGTTATGAGATTATAACTTATCTTTTGATTTTTATTTTTCTTAAAAAAAGGTAAACATGTAAGTGGATTGTATTGATTCAATTAACCAGTGGTTTGAGACTTTAAACCATGACTAAACCAAATCACCATGGTTTTATTTAACGAAAATCAAACAAAATCCATTACCTGTGTTAAACCGACCCGAGTCGGTTCGGTTTGATTGATTTTTCAGTTTTTTTGCCCTGGCCTACTCTCTACTAAATTATATAACTTCCAGGAGAATGTGTCTTGATTGAAGCTAGGATTTCTCTTCATCCGATGTTGGGAATGGCCGCCTAAGGACATAATCAACAAAGAACTCATCTACTGAAACAACAAAGCATCAAAATATGATAAAAAATGTTATTGTGAAATGTCCTTAAACTTCAATAATATCAATCAAATAGACAAATAATTTAAAAAAGAATGTTTCTCTTCTTACCAATATCACCTTGATCTGGAGAATCGAGTAGAATATCTGAATTAGAAGGCAAAAATTGGGAATCGGGATAGTTTCCAAGAGCTCCTAGATTTGCATTTTTTTTTTTTTTGGAAGTAACAAGCATAATTAGTTACGACATCTAAAGAGTAAAGGAGAAAAACTATTAGCAGTAAGGAAAAAATAATTTTTTCATGCATTAAAGAAGGGACCAATGTCGCACAAAGAGAGCAAATTATGAACCAACATGAATGAATCCGATAGATGATGAAAAAATAAATAAAATTAATTGAGGTCAATCGCAATCCAACTCAAGCTGTTGTTTATCGTAATGAACTACGATCTGGCTAGTCTGTTTCTTTTTCTTTTTTTCTTTTTTTGTATTTTTTTGTATTTTTGAGTTTTTGTGATTCTTTTGACTAATTTTGAAGTACAACTTTTGAAATTCTTCTCCTTTTATAAATAAAACTTGATTAGCTCATAGAGAGAAGGTTTACAAATCAGAAAAATAGAGAAAAATGAAAGGGGGCAGTTGTTTCCCTTTAATTGGTTAAGCCAAATGCGCATGTTCCCTTTGTACGTGTAGTACAGTTCACATTTCGCTGAAAACAATAAAATCATATTTAGAAAGATAGATAGTTCTGTTGAAAGCGATAATTCGAACTCTTAAATCAATTTACTATTTGTTCAAAACTATGTACATTTTTCGTTCGATCAAAATCACATAAACACATCAAAAATATAAGAACAAATTATTTTTTATTCTTTTTATATAAATTTACTATAAAATAACCATTAAGTTTTCTCCAAAGAAATATTTTAAAGTTACAAATTAACTGGATAATAAAATCAGGATGGACTTTAAAAAATAAAATAAAATAAAAAAGAAAAAGAAAAAAAGGAACAATCAGGCGGGGTGGCGTAGGAATTAGGAGGTATTTTTGCATTGCGTAATACTCTGATTGTCTAGTTAGCATTAATTAGTTCTCCATTTTTTACTGTTACAAACTTGAACTCGGAAAGACTAATATGGTAAACATGAAATATATTTCCTTTTCTTGATCAACAAATGTTACCATAACGAGTTTCAGGGGTTCTCTGGGTTTCCTTTATTGAGTTGGAATGAGATTACCATAAACATCTATATAAGAATGAACATACCCCTATTCAGTTCTACACAAAGAATTTACTGCAAGCAAGAAATAGATACGTATAGAAATTCTATTCTTGTCTACAATGAAGAAGAGAGTTTCTTTCGATCTGTTTGATGGTGAAGATCTTGATCTTCCTCTCCCTAAAGTGTTTCCGATGAAGAAGAAGAAGAAGAAGAAGAAGATCGTTTCACTTAGCCTCTTTGAATATCTTCTTCTTCTTGATCAACAACCACCATTTATGCCACAACCTCTCGCTATGGTTCCTTGTTCAAGCAAAAGAATGCCCCAGAAAAAAGAGAGCTGAAGAGCAATATCGTACAAGATGAGCAGAGCCTTTTCCTGAACCGCTTCTTCCTGAAATATATCAAGAATTATGGTTGAATGGAGGAACCGTGCCAATCTTTTTATACCAAAAACAGCTCACAGATTCTGATACCAAGTCTGATCAAAACCGAATTCTTCTTTCTCAAAAAACTAATGGAATTCTTAACACCAGCATAGCGACAATTAGTAGAAGTTAACCAAGGCAAAGTCAAGATTGTAACAATTGATCCGGAAGGTAAATACTATACGTTGCATATGAGGTGGGGTACTTAAAAAATGGCTGTGCTTAAAAAAGATTGGAGTAAATTGGTGAAAGCAAATAATTTGGAAGAAGGTGACTAGATTCAACTGTGGGGATATCGCCAAAATTCTCAATTTCATTTGGCTACATCAAGAAAGCGACAAAAAAGGTCTCACATGGTGATGATGCAAGCAGCAGCAACCTTGATGGCAGTGGCCGTAGTAGTAGTGGTGGTGCAAGAGCCAGTAGCAGCGGTTTTTGCTCACGTATCGTCTCCGAGGAATAGAAGATAATATGCATGAGAGATAGGCTCGAAATTTTACTATTTTGGGCATGGTCTAGTACTGATTATAGCAGGAAATTTTTTAACTAGATGGGTTTAGACTTGTTTTTAGTATTGAGTCCTGTATTCAAATATTATTTCATAGTTATCAAGTTTTAGTTTATGAAATAATTACTGTTGTGGATATTTTCACTGTTGTTCGTTGTAGAATAACTTCGAGTTGTAAAATTGACCATAATTAATAAGGAGAAACTGGAAGGTTTATATGCTAAGCCATTTTATTAACCAAATTATAGATAATTATTTCTTGAAAAAAAGACACTACTATGGAAGATCTCTGTTGCTACTAGTGACATGTTTCCCACACGGATAATTTTTCCTATATAACATTTTTACTTCACAAAAAATCCTAACAACTGATGCGAATGCAAAAGACGATACAATCAATAAGAAAGAATTTCAGTGACATGGTTTTTATGTATAGCACTAAAGCAGTAAATGAAAAAAATAGAGAGCAAGTAAATAAACACATATACATACATACTGGTAAATTTCTTATAAAATCAAGCCAAATCTCAATCCGTGTATATCCACAGTGGCAATAGTGTATTGAAATAAAACGTACCTATGTATAAAAAGAAAGCTCGAGATTGGAGAAAATACGTACATGGTAACACTATTACCGTATATGTCATCAGGTGTTCCAACAGGGTACCATTGTGCTGCAATGTCATCTACAAGAATATGCTTCCTATGAATGGTCTTTTGCACTAAAATTAGGCTCGGCCGGCTTCTGAAGCACTAGAGGAGGTAATTTTGCACTACGTACTCGGGGTGATAATTTAGCATTATGTATATAGTTATTGCACAAGGAACTAAGCAAATTGGCAGAAAATTTGATGCATTAATGGTGGCACCGAGGCTAGGTGAGCTCCTGCCCTCTTTTTGCCAAGGCCTTGTGAATTTTAACTTTTGCCACTTGCACAGATTTCTCAATCTTCCTCCTGCAATGTCGATGTCATGCTAATTGGATAAAGCAGGCTTCCCATGTCCTCCACTGCTGGGAGTAGAACCTGAAGCAATTATGTACACACCTGGGTCATGCTTATTTTATTCACATACTTCACTGAAATATTACATTCGAGAAGTGCGGGAGAAAGAGGACAGTTCTAGCGGGATATTTTGATTGATTAAGAGGAGCCTAATTATAATGTTCAAATATCCTTTCGATAGAATATCGACATAGTTTCTTTATTGGGCATTCATATAGTTGTATTAAGATACCTTTATGAGAGATGGGATTAACCTCATAATTCTTCTCCTTCATTAAAGTAGCAGTAAATGGACATAGCTCTCACATCAAGGGAGAATCACGATAAGTTTTTGTGATTATGTGTGAGCATTTCTATTTTGGGATTACAGCTTAATCCTACATTTTATGGATGGAAAGCTATAGTCATTTTACCAAAAAAAAAAAATTTGAATAGTAAGTTTTATTTCAGAACTTGCCTAAAAGTGTGCTAAATATTCTTGATGTGAAGAAGCCTAAATTGGGAGGCCACACATATCTAAGAATAGTTGTTGAGGTGCACTTACTCTTGTATGTAAACTCCAACAAAGATGTTAGCTGGTCACGAATTAAGGAATCTTCTTTGACTCCCCTGGTTTCTTGCCACTTGTATTGCTCATATTGTCACAAATTATCAGGAAGCATACGGTGGGACTTCAAACATGTCTCTAACAGAAAATAAAAGCAACCTTAGCCATTTCATCTCACAATATCTGTAAGAAAAATATGTTAGGCCTTAAGACACACCTTGGGGGATATAAAAGCTGAAATCAAATATAAGCTTATGACCTGCTTCATAAGACAGTATAAAGACTAGAAAATAAGTTTTTCATTTTGTCCATTGTACTGTATTAAATATGCCATTCAGCTATATGTACAAAATTTAATGGGAATCAAGTACTCACCTTCATGTTACCAATGATGGAGATGGAAATGGCAAAAAGAATCTCCCAAACGTAAGTGCTTGTTTTGAGGTTTTGGCCCAAAGAATTGAAATGAGCAACGTATGAGAATAGGTATAAATTACGGAACATGAAGAGAACTACAAACCATAAATTCCGCAGACCCCCACCAAAAGCAATAGAAAAAGGTCTTAAGCTTTAGGTGGGATCTGTGGATTTTCTTAAGCATTTTATCCTTGAAAAATCCGTTTCTAACATTCTGGAAATTGCCAACTATTCTATTGTTGATCAAGGCTAAAAGATGTCTCGGAATTAGACTCCTCAAACATGAACAAAAGCACATAAAAGTAGTAGCATATATCATACACCACTTTATTCCCCTCTTGTGAAATAAAACGACAAGCTCCACTGTTCACAAAAGGTACAATATCACATGAAATAGAAGCACTTTAGGAGCTAAACTAAAATCTCGACTATCTTAGACAGTATTAAATAAGAAAAATAAGTTTTTTAAAAGTATAGTCTGATACAATCCAATCGTGTCTATGTGTATTGTTAAACTTATATATTGAACCATGTTCAATCCCACATCCCTCCTTCCTCTGCCTCAACACCATAAATAGACTCGATTTTTTTCCAAAACAACCATGAACTTATTGAACTTCCAATCAAGAAAAAACGTAAGTGCACATAAAAGAATTCTTGTGCCCAGTAGAATTTGAATTTAAAAAAGAGTTATCATCAAGGCCTATCTAATATCTGTAAGCGGGCAATTTGAACTAACCTCACTAGTTTCAGCTGCTTGATTGTCATTTCTTCAACTGATATGCGATAAAAATTCAGCCTAAAAATTGCAATCTTCCTTATTCGCGGACAAAATTACCCTGCAAAATAACGACCCCATATTCAGTATTAAATGATAATTTTTAATCCAAGTAAATAACTACAAGAAGATTATAAAAATTGAAATTTTAAGTGAAAATTGGAAACTAACGTGAAAAAATCTTTGAATGCCCGTTATGGGACTATTAGATAGTTATATAACTATTTAATAGTCAAGAAAGGCAACTTTCAACTGAGAAACTTGTTGGACATTGCTATGGCAGTGGACTCCAAAATACTTGGCGGGAGACGAGAGATAGAGGATCAATAAATAACGTTATATTAGATATGGATTTCAAGTTATATTTATCAAATAAATAAAATATTACCAATACAAAAGTCAAGCAAGTAGAAATGGATTATTGTCCATCTAGTTTCAAAATAATAATATGGAAAATTTCTTCGTACGGAAAATAATAATTAAGAAAAGAATACATTGATAGCCAGGCTCGAATATAACTAATAGATTTTATCATGTGCATAATTTTACAATATTATACAAGTTATAATAATAATTTTCTAACCAAGAAAATACAAAATAACATGATAAGATCTATCTCTTGGAGATGCATCGTGCTCGATTTTCATTGCACTGATTAAGATTACAATAAACCATGCTATTATAGCATGGCTATATCTCATGAAAGGTCTAACATCTAGTTTAGTCGATAAGTGGAGCAAATATGGTTCTTCCTCATGAAAGGTTTAACATCTAGTTTAGTCGATAAGTGGAACAAATATGGTTCTTCCTGGACAATTATTATATATCCAAATCGCTCTCTAGACTAAAAGTATTCGCATTTTCAAGTTCATCACTAGGATGATTAAGACAAATAACATCTAAAGAAAATTGGATGAAGTGAATCGAAGTTAAATTGGTTCCCACGCACTAAATCCTCTTTTTTGCAGCCTTTACATCTTCCCAACATAAATTATTGAATTGAAGTTTGCAGAAACTACTAAGACACATTCTTTCCAAATGTAAATTAGTAACATGTTTGAAGTATTGTATATTGTTGCCTACTGCTGTGTACAAAACGCTTAATTTAAATATAATAAAGTAAGATATTACCTAAGTACAGAGAAAAGACATTTAAAATGCATCCCAATACTCTTTTTGACCTTTTCTGAACTCAGTTATAAACAAACATATTTATATGCAATAATCGAGCACCTAGATAAAATACATATAGCCCCCCTGTTTGGTACAAATTAAACAAATTTTAATTTAAATTAAAATCAACGATTAATTTTAATCACATATTTTATGATTCTCACAGCTTTTCATCAATACATTTCACATCTTTTATCAAAATTTACTAAAAATTGATTTTAATTTTCACCAAATAGGGACATATATTTTATTTTTTGTAACACAATAAAAATCTATTATTAATAAAGTTCACATAAACAATAAAATGTTAATATAATAGCAAATTCAATTCTATCATTCTCGTCTTAAGAGCCAACGACTTTTGCCATTTCAAATTACGTAGGGCTGGATATGGTTCGATTCTGTTCTGTTCTAACGAGAATCGAACTGGACCTGAAATTTTTGGATATTCTAGTAAGTAGAACCATTGAGTCGAAATTTAATTATGGAACCGTTCAGGTTCGGTTGGATTCGGTTTCGAGACTCCGTATTATAATTAATTTTTTTTAATATTTACAGAGTGATATTAATTCAACTAATGATATGTTCAATTTTAGCTCTTACAAAATAACGTAATCCAATTTTATGTGTTTTTTGCTATTTCTTTGCTGAGTTTTTTATATATTTTATTGTTAAAATCACAGAAAGAGGAAGATAAAAAGCTCAAAATAATTAAGAGAGATATTGTTGAACTTCAATTCGATTTCCCTAGAATGATAGAACGGTAGGAACGACGCTACGGTAAAGTAACAGATTTGGATAAAACTTTGATCAATTTCATTAATTTGGCTTTGAAAATTACAAATAGGAAAATCATATTTTTAGGTTTGAACTAAATTAACTAATTAGCAAATTTATTTAGATAAATAAAATAATTTGGCACATTTAAAATAAATCAATTAAAAAAATTAGAGAGATTCGGTTCTTATTCGATTCTTGGTTTAGAACCGAGAATCGAACCCAACCCGTTGGTTTTCGGTTCAGATACCCGTTTGGGTATTTAACTTAAGAAGAACCGCTTAGTTCTGTTCGGGTTCGATTTAGGAGTTTTGTCCAACCCTAAGTCTACACAAAATGTTATAAAATTGAATACCCAGTTGTAATCTCGAATCTATAAGAAGATTGGACACAACTATTGACAAATTTTATCACGTTTCGTGGTCTTCTCAAATTACGTCGAGTTCAATGCATAAAACATGCCCTAAATGTTCAAACTCTCAGAAACATGTGCAGTCAAGAATTTGAAATCAAACAACATTAAAAAAGAGTTTTCAACATGATTGCACACTCTTCAAACTAATGGGCATCTAATGTACTGAAAATTATTAGGGAATTTCGATAAAAACCAGTTAAAGAACAAAGAAGAAGGATAACTTCAGATAAAATTACACAATCAATTGGTCACGAAAGGCACACTGCATCAAAATTAGCAAAGGCTCATTGAACAAGGTGATGGTGTCAAAGTAGACTGCCAAAATCCCCACACGAACAATTTCCATTGAAAAATTTATGCAGTCTTTTACTATCTCTAACTATTATAGTTCTTGAAGTTAATACTGAGATGAATTTAATAAAATTATGGCAGTCTCTACACATGCTAATACTCTTAACAACCCGAATCTGTCGCCCATTTGATGTGTTAAGTAATCCATATGCTACTGCCAACTTTTCACTGTGATGAGCAGGCAATGAAGTTGTTTCCTCTTCATCATCTATCACCTCCAAATTTGCTTGCAACTGATATCCAAGAATACGTGCTCTCTCTTGTAAATCCTCCAATAGTTTCTTTAACTCTCCTTCCTGACTTAGCTGGTAGTCAGGGTTAAACGAAAAGACCTTGTTTCGAATGCTTATCCAGCTCCAATCCTTCAGTTTTCCAATCTTTTCATCTTTCATCAATTTTCTCACCCTTGAGACATCCTTCCATCTGCTTGCTGAAAAATACATATTTAATAGCAAGAAATAAGTCTCGGGATCTTTGGGTTTCAGATCAAGCAGTTGTTCGGCAGCATAGAACCCCAACTCTAATTTTCCGTGACTTCTACAGCCTGCGATTAAGATTGACCATATAAACTCACTGGGCATAAAATCCATCTTCTTGATAAATTCAAAAGCTTGTTCTATCTGACCCAACCTCACAAACATATCAATCAAGCATGCATAATGGTCCATCACAGGATTAATTTTGTATTCATTTTTCATCAATTCAAAATAGGCTAATGCCTCATCAACAATTCCTGCTTGACTACAAGCTGAGAGAACACCGACAAAGGTGATCTTGTTTGGTCTAACTCCTACGAGTCTCATATCTTCAAAAAGCTGTAACGCCTGTTGACAGAGTCCATGCTGTGCAAATGCCGTGATCATGGAAGTCCATGAAATTAATGTTCTTGCAGACATTTCGACAAAAGCTCTACTCGCTCTAACAATGCTTCCACATTTATTATACATGTTAACTAGGGCAGTTCCCACAACCACATCAGACAAAAAGCCAGTTTTTATTGTCTGAGCATGAAATTGTTCACCTTGTTCCAGAGCAACTAAGTTACTACATACAGTTAATATGCTTGAGAAAGTATACAAATCAGGTTTCACTCCTGATCTTTTCATTCGCTGGAAAATATTGAGGGCCTCAATTCCACTGAAGTGAGTGGAAATGCCATCCTGCCCAAGATCCATCATTTGAGAATGACCAGCAATCATAGCATTCCATGTAACTAAGCTGATGGTGTTCATTCCATCAAACAGTTTCTTTGCCTCATTGATGCAGCCATTTTTCAAGTACAAATACATAATAGAATTCGTCACGGGTATTTGGGATCCATATCCAAGTTTTATGCTCAACGAGTGAACCTGAGTACCGAAACCCAAAGCCTGTATTATGCAACACAAACTCAATACACTAGTCACGGTGAACTCATTTGGCTCCACGCCCTCTGAAAGCATCTGAACAAACATATCCAATCCCATAGCAGAATCCCCATTATCCCCACACGCAGATATAATGGCAGTCCATGAAATTACATTCTTTTCCCCAATCCTGGAAAATGCCTTAAACGCCATATCCAAACTACCACATTTGGAATAGAAGCTGCAAAGTGCATTTCCAATACTGGCATCATATTCAATTCCATACTTTATAATATATGCATGAATGTGCTTCCCCAATTCAATATCACACAGAGAAGAGCAAGCATTCAATATAATTCCTAAAGTAAAATTTGTGGGGTACCCCCCAATTTCCAACATCTCCTTGAAAACACTAATAGCAAGGTGCGGGTGCGAATTGTAAACATAACCCGACATCAAAGATGTCCATGTAACCACATTTCTTGAAGGCAAATTATCGAAAACCTTTTGAGCACTTTCCATGGTCCCACATTTTGCATATACATTAACGAGAAATGTCATGAGGAACAAATCTTGATATGAACCCCTCTTTATGACATGAGCATGTAGGGCTTGAACATCTGAAACGGAATTTTTTTCTATACATTCCTGTAAAATCGGAACGTAAAAAGATGATTCAACCTTAGTATTACCTTCTTGTATCAATGTAAGTGCCTTCCTGAAGTCCAAATTAAAAGGGTCCAAAGCTGATTTATCCGACTCTTTGGGGTTAAAATTTCTCTACACATAAAAAATGTTCAGAGCATGATTGCAAAAGAAATCATCTGTAGCCAATACGAAACCTTTCTAGAAACAAATAAAACGAGATAAATGAAGATTAAGCTTACATGTTGTAATGAAAGAGAAGATGGGGTGAGTTTTTTGAATTGTCGATCGAGCTTGACAGTGTTTCCAACTACAACTGAAGGCAAGGAGGCCATGAAATCAATCGATAAATGTCGAGAGGTTGATGGAAAGTTTGTTTGCGGGTTATCTCATGTGGTTGGATGAAATTGAGCTATCGTCTTTCATTCATTTACTAGACTACTTAAAAGTGTGTGCGCTGGCTACAGGCCATACCCATCTAGGCCACAAAATCCATGAAGGGATTTGGTTCCCTTGGTCCAAATGAGTTTTTGAGATCAAAAGTTATTTTTGTACCTGTTTGATTCATTTTTTGAAAGTGCTCCTGGCAATTAAAAAAAAAAAAAACTTTTAGAAAAAGTTAATTTAATGTAACTTCTTCTAAAAGCAGAATGCTTTTTTAAAAATTAGTTTCCAAACAAAATTAAAATTACTTCCTCCAAAAGATGTTCTATAGGAAGTAAAAGCAAAAATAATGTAAAACGAGACCTTAGTTTGTGAATTGCTTTTATTTATATTTAAATCTAAATCGTATTTTTGAAAAAATTGTGTGTGTGTGTATTGTTGTAAAAGGTAAATTTATTACAAGTGAATGACAATTATATCCCTACAGTCCTAAAAATAATTACTTTTGTATCCATAATTCTACCCTATAAATATGAGGTTTTGGTTTCTAATAAAATGCATACAATTCTACTGACTTGTCTATATTCTCTTTTCTTTTCTTCACTTTTTATAATATTTTATCAGTACGATTCTCTCAAAAGCAAAATGAATTAGTTAGAAAGTAATAATTTTTATAAATACAATCATCTGTCACATGTACCAAAATTAATTTGGTGGCATGTGAATTCTTTTAATGTATATATGCATCATAACGAAGTTTTTTTTTCATCTCTATTTTTCGTTAGTATGCATATTAATTTTAATTCATGTTTGTATGTGTAATTTGTACACATTAATTCATGTCTTTTCGAATCATATACAATCAATTTTGTCACATATTATTCAAGTATTAATTCCTTTTTTTTAATCTGCAACATGTTAGATCTACCTTAGATTTTTTTATATGTGGAATTCATGTGCAAGTTTAGTATTTTTTACATATTTGTAAAATATTTAGCTAATAAAAGATTTAGCCAATTTGAGATTCTTTTTCCTAATGCATGTTTGGTAATTAATTTTTCTATATAAATTCATATCATACCTATATAGTAATTAAATATTTTTAGATATTCTTCAATAAACTTTAAATTAATAATTTATCATATTGTTACTCCAAAAGTAGTACAACATTATAATAATCATTCAAAAAAATATTAATTGTACATCTATCTATTATTAATAGTTCGTTGTTGCTCCTGAAATAGTACAACATTATTAATATTGTAGTAGAATATTACTTGCTTATGAAGAGCGTGATATTACAATTTCACTATTACAGAAGAATATTGACCCAATGCTCCTGAAGAAGCACAATTTAAATTATATTTATTTTTAACGAATATGGTGTTGATGTTCTCGAAGAAACATGACTCACGTTATAGAAATATTATAGACATTACTACTCATGTAGAGCACAAATTTATTATTTAGCTCAAGGTTGAATGAATCGTTAATGTCAATATTCCAGAGGAACATTGTATATATACTCTTGAAGATTATATATCTCATTGTGTTCCTAAATAAAGCACAATTTAACATAAAAAATAAATAAATTTGTTGATGTTCCTGAAGAAATACCACATTATTAATATTTTAAAAAAGAATATTAATTGCTCCAAAAGAACATGATGTTATAATTTCAATATTCCTAAAGAATATTGATCGCTTTTATGTAAAATCATAAATCAAATTACTCTATTTATTTATGTGTCCATTCTTCTACATACGTATTTAGATATTAATGTTCTGGTTAGATTTATTGCTCTCGAAGAGCATAATGATATAAGATCTAATATTATATTACATTTTTACTCCTGAAGAGTAAATCCTTAAATTGTGTTTATTACTGTAAACGATAATATGTTATTGCTTCTAAAGAGCATGACACTAAAATTCTTCATATTTTATAAGAATATTGATTTATTGTTCTTGAAAAATCAATAGTAAAATATAATGTGATCATGAAATTGCACATTATAATTTTCATTAATATTCTAGTTAGATTTTATTTGCTCTCGAAGAGCATAATTATATACAATCTTACATAAATTACATTTTTACTCTTGAATAGTAAATTCTTGTATAATTTATTGTAATAATATTTGATTACTCTTAAAGAGCTTAAATTATAATTTTAAATATTTCAAAAAAATATTGACATATTGATGTTGAAAAAACAATAATAAGATATAGCTTGCTCTCGAAATAGAATACATCTCGAAGAATTATACTTTATTATGTTACTGAAGAAACACAAAAATTACATGTTTATCCCTGAAGGAAAATATACAATTTATGTCATTTGAACTTTGATTTATATATGATATATCATAGTTAATCATGTTTTTGAAAATTAACCGTCTTTTATTTGATTAAATCGATATTTAAATTTGAAACATTGTATTGAATCAGAAGTTCAATTATTTGGCATAACCAATTGGATCATGACTGGATCAATAATGACGCACAATTAAAAAATTCAAAATGTATATTCAATGAGGAACCAGAAGATTTTTTAATCCAATGAATTTTCATATGCATTTGTTCTTTTTATCGACAATTAATCATTATACATTACTGGCTAAAATAGGGATTGAATTTTCTATATTTCTGAAAATTAATTAGGGTGATATATGGGGCTCGTCACCCACCACGTTGATCATCTAAACATTATTTGTATCTAATAGATTTGATACATATACTAGATGAGTGTATAGTCTTCGCAACTTGAATTTTGTGAAATTACTATCCAAAATTTAAATTATGAGCATAATTTTCAGATTTTATAATCAAGATGGTGTCTTATTAATGTTGGTGGGCATAAATTTGAACATTTTAATAAGTGTTAGTTGGGATGTTGATAAATGATTTTACACTGTTTTTTTGTTAAAACACTTCCAATTAATTTAATTGAGAACAAAATACTTCTCATTTTTCTTTAGGGAATTCTATTACGCATCATGCCAACATTATAGTTCTCCATATTATAATTGGCTTATGGTTAGAACCTAATTTTTCATCTATTTATTTTGGTAGTGCATTATATGTAAAAATTGAACACCACAATGCACTGAGATGAAAAATAAAGAATGCTGAAACTAAGTATATAGTTTGAACTATTATCTCAAATTGACGATATTTTATAACATTGGAAAAATAATTTATTTGAATTCATTTACTGATCAAAGAGATCAATAATATCTCATACACTAGCTTTAAAATGCTCCAATAAGAATTGATATCCTGTGAGGACAATTTGTTATCATTATATTTGAGATATTTATCGCATAGTTGAAGTTTGATGATGTTCGATTCTAATACAAAAATCTTCAAAAGAAAATGGAGCAATTAGCAAAGATGATTTCATTAAGGAGACATATCCTTTTGGTAAGTATCTAGACATAAAAAATTATAAAACCCCAGAAGAGGTTCAGATACTTGATTTGTTGAAAATTCAGATATCTAAACAAGTTATTTCACTATAGGAAAAGAAATAGAATCGAACTAAAAAAGAAAAAGTTGTCAACAATATTTTTACACATGATATTCTATATCATATTATGAATAGCAAGAAATTGTAATAAATACATCAAAATATATCGATCGAAGTAATGTCTGACCAAATAAAAGGGACGCAATCCTAAATTGAATTTACTAGAAGTTTTTGGACTTGTAGTCCTAAAATCTAAATGTATATACTTATATGAAAAGGAAATGAGAAAAATGACGTCGTAATGTATAATGCACAACTTTCAACATAGTGAATTTTGCAAAAATCGTCGTGGATGAAATCATGAGTCTATATCATGTTATCTTGATGATACATGAAATTTGAAATAGTGATAATCAACTATAGGGCATGACTATTAATGTTATCTCTGAAAGATTTAATATGCTTGAAGCATAACTTAAATGACATATGCCCAAGAACCATGTTCTCAATTAAGTTGTAAAGACCATTATATGGATTAAAACAATTTGAACGCATGTGGTATAATTGTCTTAGTGAATATTTGTTGAAGGAGAGTTATAAAAATGACGACGTCTATCCATATATTTTCATAAAGAAAACAAATAATGGATTTGCAATTGTGCAATTTATTTGATAATTTAAATTTAATTAGAACTCTTGAAATGTTCAACAAAACTGCAGATTATTTAAAAAAATGAATTTGAAATGAAGGATTTGGAAAAAAAAATCAAATTTTATCTCGAGTTGTAGATTAAACATTTTTCAGAAGGATTATTTGTTCATAAATTTACATTTACCGAAAAGTTTTAAATTGTTTTTATATGAACAATACACATCGATTAGCATCATCTATGGTTGTTTGATCACTTGATCCATTTTGTCCACTTGAATATGGAAAATGTTCTTCGTCCTGAAGTATCATATTTTGGTGCAATTGGAGCGCTAACTTGTTTTGCAAATTGCACTCGACCTGACATAGTTTTCTGTAAATTTTCTTACAAGATATAGCTCTACACCAATTGAAAGATATTGGAATGGTGTTACACATATTTTTCACCTAAAGGGTACTGTTGATTTGAAATTATTTTATCCTCAAAAGTCGGGATCTGCTTTAGTGGAATATGTAAATGCAGGTTATCTATCAGATCCATGCAAAGCTAAATCATAGACAGGTTATGCGTTTATACGTGGAAGAATAGCTATATCATAGAAATCTGTGAAAAGCAATCCTTGACAGCTACATCCTCAACTCATTTTGAAATTATTACAATTCATGAAGCAAGCCGAGAATGTATTTGGTTGAGAAACATGATTCATCATATCCAAGCATCATGCGACTTAACTTTAACAAAAGATAGTCTAACAATTTTGTATAAAGACAATGCAACTTGTATTGCACAACTCAGATGATGCTAATCAAAAGTGACAGGACGAAACACATTTCTCCAAAATTCTTTCATACACATGAATTTCAAAAGGATGACGACATTAATATCCAACAAATTCGCTCAAGTGACAATATTGCCGATTTATTCACAAAACCACTATCAACATCTACATTCAAGAAATTAGTTTACGAGATTAAAATGCGTCGACTAAAAAATCTTCAGTGATCAATATCAGGGGGAGTAGCTGTACTTTTTTTTTCCTTCTCTTAGGATTTATCCAACTAAATTTTTGTAACAGGGTTTTAATGAGACATCATTTATTTTTAGTACTCTAAAATAATTGTACTCTTTTTTTTATCCGTTTTGATTTTTTTCCCATTGAGTTTTTATCAAATAAGGTTTGAACGAGACAAATATTTTGTAATGTGTCATTTAAGGGGGAGTGTTGTAAAAAGTAAGTTTATTAGGGTTTACAAGTTAATGACAATTGTATCCCCACAGCCCTAAAAATTAATAAATTTATATCCTTGATTCTACCCTATAAATATAAGATTTTGGTTCTTAATAAAATACACACAAATATATTGACTTATCTCAATCCTCTTCTCTTTTCTTCACTTTTTATAACACACACACACACACACACACACATATATATATATATATATATCTGCTAAAATATTATTTTTTCCGTCAATATGTTTTATATTAATTTTATAGATGCTTATCTTCATGGTGCAGATGGATTAAAGGATGATGAATTTTGGTAATGTCACTCTGAGAGTAGCCCCTCAAGGATCTAATCTTCGATTCAGATAAAATAATTTATAAAGACTACCAGAAAGGGAGCGTTGTCTACTGGATAATCTCTGGATGACGCGTGACTCTAAACAAAAATTAAACAGCATTAATGTCCTAGCAAACCATTTTAGACAGATTCATAATCAAGTAGAAAGAAAAAATTTTAGTTTGTAGTAATTAAAGGTAGAAAGTCTGGTATATATAATTATTGGCCAGAAATACTACAACAAGTAGAAAGATTTTCCGACCCTCTTTTCAAAGGATTTTATATGCTTGAAGAAGCTTTAAATTTTTGAAGAGAAATAATATGATTTCATTTTCATATATCCAAAAGAATTAGACAGACCACGCAAATCCCCCTCTCAAGCTTCATCATCATCTTCATCAATACAACTTTGTGATAGTTGTGAAACTATGACCAAAGTTGTTAGAAATTTAAATCTTAAAGAGCATTCTTTAGAAGAAAAACTACAATTCCTTGAAAATCATATTTCCTCATCCCAACAAACTATTAGTAAATATCAAAATGAAATTCTTAAATTGCATAATAGTTTAGACAGACTTAGTTCTAGAGATGCACTTGAAAAATCCATTTCTAAAGACATCGCCTCTACAAATGGAAATTATTCTGATAAAATAGAAAGACTTATTGAACTAACAGATTCTACAGCTGCAAGATAAGAAAAGACTTTATACGAATTAGAACAGAAAATTGGTGATTGCGCCAGTATTGCTCGAAGTTCTATAAAGAATTTCGTTGTACAGGAAATTATGGATTTTGCTCAAATTTTAAGTTACTATCATAATGAAAACAAATATTTCATTAGACATAGTCCCAAATACGATGCAGCCCAAAATTCAGCTTTTCTTAGACACAATTATCCAACGATTTCCTTTGATTATATAATCTTTGAAGAAGAAGACCTTTTTTACCCAGCTTTACAGTTTGGAATGATAGATACTATATACATATTAAACAGATCTTTTCGATTTTTTCCATTGAAACTTAAACATATTATTGATCAGCTAAAAGACTATCCCTTAATGATTCAATTCATTTCCATACTCCATCATATAAACAATGACATTGTAATTCCAGTTTATCATCTTATTTCAATTTACAAAGGAACCAAAAGATTTAGACCCTCTTCGAGAACGAATATTAAAATCAAAATTAGACAAATTGATGATGAAAGAAGGATATCATAAATCGCAGCCATGATAGAAGTTCAAAATAATGATTTCAAATTAGCAGCACAATGAAACAACGGAGTTATTTTCTGCCAAGACCACCTTCCCATGAGAACTAAAGCAGAAAAAATTCTAGTATCAAATGTTGAACAAAAGAATTTATATCTGATGGACAATTTAAGAGACTAATGGAAAATTTACAGAAATTCTATCAGAAACAAAAGATGAAGCATACATATCTGATGGCAATGATAATGAGATGAATCCAGAACTAGAAGAAGCCATAGCAGAAATGATGGACGGATAAATAATTGAAAAGGACGAGATAGAAAGACAAAGAATTAATTAACAATACAAGGAAGTCAAAAAGAAGAGGCGTAAAAATAAAGTTTTTGAATATATTTTAAACATGTGCAAAGTTGATTCCCATATTTTAAGAAAAGTCAGGCGTGAAAACAAAAGTTGTCATAAGCATGTTTTCAAATAATTTATTCTTTAATTACTTACATGGAGAATTGTACATTATTTGTTTTTAGATCGCACACCTGTAAAGTTTGCACAGTATTCTTCAATTATTGATAGCACACTTACAACACCAATAAGATAGACGTGATGTACCAGCATCTACAAATACCCACACCTCTCTCTAAAGAAACACACACCGAAGAAAGCACAAAGCACACTATTACACTTGTACTAAAAAATCTCTACACCATCTTTGTAAATTAAGACATCCTTGTAAATTCAAAGACTTCGTAATTAAAGTAACTTCTTTTCATATTTTCTCTTGTTTATAATTTTCGTTTACTTTAGTTATTTTTCGGGTAAGGCCTAAAAATGGGGAAACACCAAGTAAATAATTAATTTATTCACAAATAATATTTTATTTCAGTTTCAAAAATATATATTTAACACTCTTAGCCTCTTTATTTTGGATTCCATGGCCAAAAAGATAAAGTAATCCTCTAAGTTAAGTTGGCTAATTTGTGTCCCCAATTGTGGGAATTTGTTAAAGCCTTTTTAAACATGATGAAAATATTTTTTACTACAGTCTTAAGACTTCTTTAAAAGGTCAAGAAAAATGCTAAAAGTGAGTTAAAAAAAAATTAAAGGTCTGAAGAAATTAATTTACTGAACGGTAAAATACTCAAAGATCTAATGTTTTAAAGTTCTAATATTTTATGCCTTTAGATTACACTGTCTTACTTACTTGTTTATTAGAAAGTTTTAACGAATATGTTAATACTTGTTTAGAGAACAGAGAAATAGGAAGATTAATTGTTGTAGAAAGTCATATTTTATCCGCTCTAAATAGAAATAGAGGTGACTCTTCTTTACAGATCAAGAAGCAAATCATTAAGCTCTCTATCTCTCAGTGTTGGAGTTTCTTAATAGAAGATTCTGAAAATTGTAAAGAAAGACAACAACGAACAAAAATTATAAGAGAAAATAATAAAAGAAATTTCAGCAGAACTAGTTAGACATTTTTAGCAATTAAACTTTAGTAGCAAAGATAAGATAAATTGGTATAAAATTTCAAACGTATTAAAAATCTTTTAAAAAAGACCTTATCTTCGAAATTAATTGCTAGTAGACTTTTTCTTGAAGTTGGTATATTTGAAACGTGTTTAAATTTTTGAAAAATCTTTAATATTTGAAAGACTTTTTCTTGAATCTTTAATATTTCATAGATTTTTTCTTGAAATGAATTTATCACGAAGACTTTGTTCAAAGACTTTATTACAAAGAATTTGGAGATAGTTTATCTACAAAATTGGTATCTATGTAAAAAATATTTTAGTTGTCTTTTTCCTTGAAGAAATTTTTCTTAGTTGTCACTGTCATACAAGATTTTAGTTGTATCCATGTAGAAAATATTTTAGTTGTCATTTAAACCGAAATTGGTAAATTTACGTAGAAAATTTTCTTACTCGTCATTTTCAAGGTGTTTTCATTTTCTTTGACAAACACCATTTGCTACAAAGAAATTTCTTGCAAAAAATTTATTACAAAGGCTACTTTCAAAGAAAAAGTCTTGCTCCCCAAGTCACATTTGCCAAAAGAATTTTTTTGCAAAGATTTTATTACAAAGAGAATTAGTATCTAATTGTCAAACGAATTGGCAAACGAATTATATATATATATATATATTGATGCATTATCCCTGGTGAGTTAAGAGTTTATGAAATGAGATTTTAGCGGGAAAAAAAAAAAGGAAAAAAAGAGTAGAGATTAAGAGGTTGATAAGTGTGATGGGAAGTCACTAGAGACTACGGATTTCACCCCTCAAGCGAAAGGAAAGAAGCTGCAAAGACCAAAGGATTGGGCCAAACTCCATAGGTCACAGGGAAGCTATCGTTTAGCACGATCTTGCTTTGCTTGGGCAGTCTATAGCCTTGACTTTCCTTTCCAAGGGGCAGGCTCAAATATTTGATTAGATAGAAGGCATATTCTAGGACCCAGACACATTCTTAGAATTTATATGTAAGATTTACAGCTTTCAGAAAAAAATCCCATACCGTACATGGAGACGTCCTTAAAAACAGATAATTGGTACTCAGCACAAAGAAAAAGCCCGAAACCTCATAACTGATGAGAAAAGAAAACCTTTATTACCATCAAGTTAGATGAGAGATTGATTTATACATAATAATGCCAAGACATAGAGCCATTAGATTCTCGCCCTCGAGAACTTCAACAATCAAATCTAAGCTGTCAAACCTTCCTTGCCACTGCAAGTATCAAAATGCCTTTCATGCATCGAATCTGTTAGAAACGAAAGGTGTGTGTTACTAGTTGTTCATAATGGACTTAACATGCCTATATCCTTCCGTAGTTCAGTGCCCAGAATGGCCAAAAATAAATTGATTCTGAACTCATATTTGACTTTTAGAACGCTCAAGTAAACTAAATTTATGGGGGAAATGGTATTACTCAAAAACAAATAGAGACTAAATCTCATGTCTTTTCAGCACATCGATACAAGTCAAGTCAACCTTACGAGCCAAATAATCTATACTAACCACCTTATAAGCATTAACAATCTTAATCACTGTTTTATGTAATTCTAACATTTCAGATTCTTCTCGACTTTTGAAAATATAGAACTCATGTTTGTTACTTTGACATGATAAAACGGACATTTTATAACCAGAGCAACAAATTATTTTCTATTATTCTTGTGAGTTAGAAGATGCCAGTGTTATCTCCTTTTCAATCTTCCTGGGAGAAAAAAAAAGAAAAAAAAAAGGATAAGGTAATTTAAGAAGGCATAAGGCATTACATAAAGGGCACACCACAGCCCACTATTTTTTGGAAAGAAAAAAAAGGTCTATTGCCAATTGACATTTAAAATCTAGCACAGTCAATGACAAAATAAAAGAAGCACAAAACCTATTACTATTCAATGCAATTTACCTCCTCTGAATATCAGGCCTGGTTCAGTCCTTGAACTTCATAGTTTCTTTCTCAAAACCAACAGTAGGAAATTGCTTTGCATACTCCTCAATTTCATAGCGCAACTTTGATAGATCAGGATGATAAGCTTCTGTCTTCATTGTCGCCACAAAGTCCTTCAACTTTGTTCCTGAATATTTTGATCAAAGAGTGCACAAGTATAAACTAGATGACGTTGAAATTTCTGGTGCAAATTAGAAGATGGACCACAATCTAATTCTGGAAGAATAGAGGAAACAGAATTAAAAACCATTTGTATTAGCCTTGATCTTCAGGGCCACTGTCACAGCTGCATCAAAGAACTCAGCAACTTTAACGAAATCTTGTTCAACGAATCCCCTTGATGTCAGAGCCGGAGTTCCTAAATTACCAGGGAAAAAAGATAATCAAGTAATAAAAACTCAAGTGTACAAGATATATATTGAGGAAGGGGCTTACCCATACGAATGCCTCCAGGCACCATGGCAGATACATCCCCAGGAACAGTATTTTTATTGGCAGCAATGTGCACCGCCTCCAAAACTTTTTCAACTCTGGAGCCATCAATACCCTGCAGAGAGGATAAAGTGGTCAATTGCAAGTGCGAAATTATTTCCAAGTTAGATAATCTTTTGCCTGTCAACGTTTAAAATAAGTACTCACTTTGAAAGTAAGTGACCTTAATATCAAAATAAGAAACTTTTTTTACTTGAATGGAAAAAGTACCATAACAAAACGTGTTTCAAAACAAAATATACCTAAAGTAAGTATGACTTTCTTTTTAGCTAAGCTAAACATGATCTTGATAATCATTTTACCAAAATGTTAAGGTGAAATGCATATAATAATAAGGAACCTTTTTTGCTGAAGCTCTCACGTGGCGGGAAAACAAAAGAAAATAATCAATATCAGATGCAACATGCAAAATTCATCAAACTTTTCGATACTTCAATGTAGTGCAAAAAGTGAATTCAAGATGTACAGTTGTCAGAAAAGAAAAAAGAGGTATAAAAGGAGTTTGAAAGTGAACAATTTTTCTTATTTTGAGTGATTGGTCAGAAACCAAGAAAGAAGGAAAGCAGTCACCACAAGACAATAAAAAATGTTTGGTGTACCTTGTTTCTCAAATTTACCAAGACAAGATGGTTATCAGTTCCACCAGATACAAGTTCATAGCCTTTCTCGAGCAAAGTCTGCGAAACATGACGATATCACAAATGAATGTTAATATGACATAACATCAGAAGCTAGTTTAAATTCTTAATACAATCAAAAGTTGGGAACATGGATGAATTCAGGAAATGAAAATTCATAAGAGACCGAAACAAAATACATCTGCGAACTTTGAGCAATTACTGAGAACTTGCTCTTGATATGCCTTGTATTCTGGAGTCATAGCCTACATTCATAAGATTTTTGGAAAGACATCAGTAAAAATTACAACAATAATCCCTTTTATAATAAACAGCTTAGAAAATGTAACCTGTTTCAGTGCAACTGCTAAGGCAGTTATAGTGTGATTGTGGGGTCCACCTTGAAGTCCGGGAAATACAGCCTGATTAATTTTGTCTTCATAGTCATAAATCACCTGTTACAAGCAAATTAATTTTTTTCCCAGGATAGAACATAATGATTTAGCATATGTTTGGCAAGTGTTTATAAACATATAGAAAGGAGTGGTGGATAAGTAGGTAGTAATTGTGGATTCCACGACATATATGGATAATGGTGGTTGGACTTTTGACAAGTGTTTATAAACATGTTTATCAAACATATGCTTAGTAATTAACTGATCTGAAACTTCTTATTCCTCTAATTGCATGATGTACATTCATTCCCCAACGTGTGTGCTCTGCAAGTGTTTTGGGAAAGGGCGGGCGTATGCAAGGATTGGAATAGGGACACTTGTAGAAGATGCAACAATGTAGAAACAACAGAATACAGTTTTATCTGAATCTCACTTCTTGTCCTTGTTTATTGATCCCTTTTACTCCCTTCCTGAAGAAGATCATTGCTCCACGTGGCCCACGAAGTGATTTGTGGGTGGTTGTTGTAACTATATCTGCATACTCAAATGGTGATGGAATGACACCAGCAGCAACCAATCCACTAATATGTGCCATGTCAGCCAACATGACTGCTTTTTGCTTGTCACAGACCTGTAGAATCCATTATAAAAAAAGTGATTACATAATATCCAAACATTCTAGAATGTGACAAAAGATATGAAACACAACCTAGAGTCTATAATAAGACTGCAGCATAAGTAGTCAAGTTTACCTTGCGAATCCGTGCATAATCATATAGGCGAGCATAAGCACTTGCACCAGCAACTATTAATTTGGGTCTGAAGAGTGTAGCACTTTGCTCCAGCTGCGGTGATGTCAGACAGACTCAATCAAAAGTCAGGTAACAGAGGTAAACCTACTTACTTCCTCCAAGAGACTACAAGCACCCATCACCCTCACCAACAACCCGAAGTATATTTCGAAAACTGAATTAAGCCCCCGTTTGTTTCCCATTATTTTCTCATTAAAATAAAAAAATATGACCGTTATCCATCACATCAAGTCACCAAATTTAAATTTTTATTTCTTATGTGGGGCCCATAACAGTTATATTTTTCATTCTCATTCAAAAACATAGCTTGAGTCATAGGAAATACATACAGAATCTCATCATTTCACAGTTCTTGAAAACTATAATTCATACTTGAGAACAACACAAATGTTTAGAAAGCAATTTGAAGTTGCAATATACCTAGATACAAGTTAGAAGTGCAAATCATACGCTATCTACATCCAAAAACTCATAGTAACCACATGACAAAGGACCATAAAGTTGAAATGCACACATTTAACATTATAATCATTAAATTATCGATCTCGGGAGGTCATAAATTTTAGGAATCTAAACAGACGGTTTAAGTGATATAATTAAAGAAGAGTGGAGCCACATATTGTCATCAGGTAATTAAGTTGAATGGCATGCAAACACAAAAGGTTGTGAATTCCATTATACAGAATTGAATAGAAGCTACAAGCCTGCAAGTGCTGCTAAGTTACTTGTTATACAAACAATCGCAGTAACTGAATGCTTGTTTTGATAGCTAGAACGGCTAAGAAGCACCGACATGGACACGAGTGTCGGACATGCCGACATGTGATTTTTTGAAAAAGGTCTGACAAGATACGTAATCGACATGTTGATTAAAATATTATTTTTTTAATTTAATAGTTTTAAGTATTAAATTTTTGTAATTTTCGTGTACTACCATTACAAAGAAAGGGGATTGAGGATTTGACATGCTTTGTAAGTTATATTTTTTATTAGGGTAAAATGGTAAAAAATAAATGCTCAAGGTAAAATTGAAAAGAAAGCTTATCAAAAAGTTTTAGAAAAAGTAAATTTTGCAGACTATTTAATGTTTTGGCCCCAACACATTTGACTTGAATAGTGGATTTCAATAACATGGTGTATTGCCCAAAGTCCAAACACGTGCCTCTTCATTTCCTCTTCTACATTTCTTCTTCTTCCTCACCATCTCTACAAGTGCTTCTGTATTTCTTTCTTCTTCCTCTGGGCCGTTTCTGCACTTTTTCCAGCCATCTCTGCATTTATTCTTCATGAGCACGACAGCCTCCATTTTTGCTTACTATTTTTAGCCGCCGAGTTCATTTCTTCTTCATCTCCAACACATTGCAAGGGACTTCCGACACGTGTCAAAGACGTACCAGTGTCCGACACATATCGGACACCGATACACTAACGTTGAAAGCGTGTCAGTGCTTCTCAAACAGCAAAAATGAAATATAGAAAAAGTCCTTTTTTGAAAGCTTCCGCTTTTTCTTTAAATATATTTTACTTATTTGGAATCAACTTTTGACACGTCTGGGCCATGAAACTCAAATATCTTAAGATTGTATTCATTTTGGGGGAATAAGTTGTTTTAAATTAATGTAATATTGATGAAAGTCGTATTAGATTATTATATGCATACTTTCCATGTCGGGATCCTTATTTTAGGAAAAATAATTAGGGTTTATTTATTAGAGTTCCTATGATTTAATTAAGCCCCTATTTGACAACCATAATTTGAAAACTATTTTTTTTACATGCTCATTTTCAACCATACATTCACACAATAAAATATTCT